GCACCCAATGCCCTGTAATGCTGTTCTCACAAACGTGGCAATGTGTTGCTTAATGTCCGTCACACAAACATCTAACTCTTCATCAGTAAAACTGCTACATCATGCCCTGACTGAGAGATGGAATTCTGCAGTTTGCTTGTATACTTTATGTGGGCGTACTCTTAGAATCCTGGTTATACTAGGAACAACTTCATTTCCATGAAATGTGTGATGTGTTGAGGTGAGGTGATATGTGTTGATGTGATATATTTCTATGTGGCTCTCTCATTCATCCTTGCTCTTGCTGAACAGTCACAGTGCACATCTCCCTCTCCACCACTTCAGTGACAGCCTGTTCTACATCTTTTGGGATGGTTACTAGACACACATATTCCTGCCAGCACATTCCAAGTAATCGAGTTTAAAGGCTGTATGTCTGACTGCATGCTGCAGGTGTGAGCAGAATCTTTCCAGCACATAATCTTTTTTTTTTTTTTTTTTAACTCCCTCCACCACCCCCCCTCTGCGGAGGACTACTTTATTTATTTGTATTTATTTTATTTTATTTTATTTTTTTTTATTTACTTCCTCAAGAGAAGGCGAGGGAGAGAGAAGGGGGGAAACAAAGGAGAAGAAGGGGGAAAGAGAGAGAGGGAGAGAGAGGAGAGAAAAGAAAAAAACAAAACAGATAACCTGCTTCCATGTCTGCTGAAAAGAGAAAGACAACATACAACATCTGTACTAATCACAACGACCATCAAACGTTAAATGTTGTTGAACAGCACGCACAAACAGCATTACAACACATGCCCAGAAGCAACAGCCGATCGGTTAGGGGCCCCTGTATCCCAGGAAACCACAAAACAACTAAAAGCTCATAAAACACCAGGAAACACAGCTAAGCTAAACCCATAAAAGGTGATAATACAGCAAAAGCTTCTGCTGGTTCCTCCGCTTGTCCTCCCCAATGGCCTGTAACCTTTAAGATGTTCTACACTAACACGTCCCGGCTGAGGTTGCCTGAAGGACCATTTCTCATGGCAACACATGTCACCCCAGCCTGTCCCTTGGTTCTTACACTGTCCCCTCCCAGTTCATACTAGGGACTTGTTCTTCATAACACTTCATAATGCGACGTGTTCACCCTTAAGGTTTTGCACTTCTGCCATCTGTTTTGTATACTTGTCCAAAGTCTCAGCGGCTGCTGCCACATATCTAGTCATTTAATGACTACGCCACCTGCTGCCGCTAATGTGACACCGCCGCACTTTTGACTTTTGATCAGCGACGACTGTTTGGAAAAGAAATGAACTTTCAATAAACCTACAAAACCGCCTGCTAATGTAAGGCAGACGGATGAGTGCGTGCGGTTTTGAGTTCAGATCCACAAGGAGGGGCTGCCCTCACCATGTGGCCCAGTCATGTTTTACCAACGCCCCAGTCTCCAGGCTGGAGCACGCCTGCATGGCTCATGGGGGTGTGCACAGGGTTAGGGTTAGGGTTGTACTTTGGTTGTACCTGACCAAAGGCACGTACTGCAGCTATGAGGAAGTCTGGCAGAGAACCACTGACAGTATTACAACAACAGAAAATCCTGAAAGAGGGACAGAGTTACGAATGAGACTACAACCCCAATGGTGGGTGTGGTTATTATGCAGATCCGATTACTGACTGCTCTGATGCACCTCATTCGTTCACATTATTAGATCACACCACGTAATGACGACCAATACATGGCAAACTCGCCCACTGTAGATTAATGTCTCTCACCACTTTGGGCACCTTACCGCTGCCATAAAAACTGGCACCAGCACAGAATCAGAATGCGAGGTGGGGCATTTTGTACTGAATCTGCTATAGTGATTTATAGGGCTGGATGATGTGTGTTATTAATACCAGTATCACATGTTTTGCGCATGCAGTTCTCACATCGCAAGGACCGTGATAGTTGGGTTAAGATCAGGATTTCTACTGAATTTCTCTATTAGACATTTTCCAGCCAGATCCCAGTTAAAGTTTGGGTCCACGCATCCAGGATTATTACTTGTTACTGCTACTTTTGCTAGTATTGGACCGTACATCAGATGGAAAAGCGACAGTCTGAGAGGTTTGGTAACTGGTGGAATGGAAAGCTACCTTTACAGTCTCGTGTTGCATGGCAAACTCCACACAGATCCTGACATGCTTCTCTTTGACTAACTACTGTTTTGTGCTTCTCTCTGACCAATATTGAGCAACACAGGACATTCTCTATTACAGGTGGATGCACCGTTGATCCACTGGCCACCACTTCCAAAGCAGGGGTGAGCAGTCTTATCCAGAAAGGGCCATTGGGTATGCGGGGGTTTGCGGCAAATCCCTAATTACATTACTAATTAGTGGACTGATACCTGGGTTTGAACAGCTGACCTAGAGGTTATCCCAAAACCCTGCACACACCGGCCCTTTGAGGGAATGATCACCTGCTCCTGTACCAAAATGACTACAAGCCTTTCAGTGGCCCCCTCCCAACCTGAAAGAACTTCAGGTGCAGATGCAAAGTGTATGGGGCAGTCTTTTCTACACAGCTATGAGTAAGATGGATGCATCAGTCCTCCCCACCCCCCACACTTTTTTTGGTGCTGCTCAGTCAGATCGAAGGATGTTTCTAGAAAAGCCTGAAGGCCTGAGCTTACTGGTCACATTCTAACCTTTTTTTATAAATTTTTTGTTTTTTTTTATGCAAGATGATGCAACAGAGAATTAGTATCTGTCCTTGGCATATAAAAATAAAAATAAATCAAGCTCTGACCTATGAGGTCAGGAAGGTTACAGCCTCGAACAAGGCAATGTGTGAGTTTCAAGTGTCTTTGGATAAGAGTAATGAAAAACTTAATATCAAAGTGCGTCTTGTTTGGTTTCGTGCTTTTGTATATACAACAGAAGCACAAATGGTGAGATTTTTAAAATACTACAAAAAACCTGAACGGAATTCAAGGATTAGGAATTTAATGAGTCATTTAGAGATTTAAACTGAAAGACGGTTATTCTTAGATCCTAGTTTGGTGGCTAATGACACAAACAGCTTTAGGGCACAGCAGTACCATGACTGACCTGTGTACTAAGGCACCAGTCCAAAGCCAAATGAAAGGGTCTGCATATTTACCTTCCAACCAAGTTTGCTTCAGATTAACCAATGATTCGCTTGTAAAATGGCTGCTGAATTCCTATTGGCTAATTGCTGCCTGGATCAGTCTAGCGGTTCTAGAAATGCATGTTTACATGCTGAAGCACCCCTTATCGAAAAACGATGCCAATCTTACACTGCCTCCCGTTTCGGTCAAAAATCTAGACCTATGTTGCAAAAGTAAACTTTGCAAATTATGCAAATTAGCCAAAAAGGAGGTGGACCCTATATTGCAGTTTCACTTAAAATAAATCAGGGATTCTGGCAATTTTCTACTGTATGACTCACAATTCAAGAAATAGGCTTAAAATTAAATGTGCTATAGCGCCACCATTTGGCTGACTGGGGCCCCTTTGCTTGTCTGAGTAGTTAGTGAGTAGGGGGATTACTGCACTACTTGTGGTCTTTGCTACCCATTTTGTTTTAGGGCAGAATCAAAACATTTTTAAAAATCATTTAAAAACAGGGAAACAGCAGGCTTGCAGCACTACGTGCCTGGATCACTAAATATAAAAACTCACAAACACCCAGTAAGAAATGAGGATAAAACACTGCTGACAGCCATAAGATATATGGGCACGGAATACCTCGGTTTTCCTGGAACGCGTTTTCGCGCCTGGCGTAGCTGCCCTTTGGCCCACTTAATAGCAGAGCAGAGACTCTTCCAGAAGCAGCACGCAGTCATGCAGTGGGCGGAGCCCAATGCCCCCAGTTCATGGGGTTCGTGCAGTTTGCTCTCTCCATCCCTCCCCAGCAAGCTCTCTGCGCAGTGCTGATCGCCAGAAGCTTACAGCCCCTGCTGAGCAGTAGTATCTTATACACAATTGTTGCATTTCTACTGATTTTGCTCGCACAATTTTCATTTTTACATGTATGGAATGTTATCTGCACGATCGCTCAGTCCTGTCTTGTTGCAGGGCGCTCCAGTGTATAAAAATAGATCCCATTCTGTGACAGGTCTGGCTGGGCACCAGCACAGATACCTTACAGGGGCTCCCACATGCTACCCTGCTGAATCCAGGACCCACAAAGTTTGATTGCTCCACCGAAATGCCTCCGTGCTTCTTTACTTGCACCCTTTCTCGACTTCACCCGCAGACGACAAATCTTGAGTGTGAGGCAAAACCCTGTTGCATATGCCATTTCCCATAAAAAATAAAGACTTGTCCCACAGCTATAAACGTCATACTTCTTCCATAGGCTGGACACTCAGGGCCGATACCACACTCTTTTTCTTAAAGGAAGTGTTTACCTTGTTTCTGGCCAAAAGGCCATTAAACTATGAATTTACTAACGCAGCTTAAGTCATGACAGCTGCTCTCAATAGCCACCCTTCGTCCACTCATGGAATCCGACCATCTGATGTGTTCAACACCTGCAAGTTGTTTGTGGAGGTCAGCAGTTGCAGGGCGGCCACGTTGAGGAGGAATTAGAGCATTTCAACCATCAAAGAGGCCAGGACAGGAGGAGCCGGAAAGGGAAGTGCCATCTTCACGCAAGACCGTGCGGTCATCGGGGCCAAGATGAACTTCTGCAGAACGTGCACTCAGCCCAGGAGGCCGTTAGTGGGTGGCACAGAGCTATTAAGTTCAGAAGATAAGATTTACTGGTTTCGTACAATCGCCAGTGTGTACATAAGGATACTCTATCATTTTCCTCAGCTGGAGGACCAGGAAGAAATTTGCTGATGAGGACCTCCAATCATCGCACGGTCTGTGATGGCACCTGTAACCTGATTGGTGTCCCCTCATAAAAACAGCCAATGATATCCATCAGCATGTAACGGTAGCCGAAGCCTTGGACTTTAAACTGACACATTTATAATCCCACAAATCAATACAAACCACACTTCAAGTAAGACTCTATGGACTCAGCTTCTAACACATTTACTCATTTGCGACTTTCGCCATTACATTAACTTTTAAACACGAAAGAGACCACACACACGTTATTCATTGCTATTTACGTAGCATCACAGCAACAATAAATACGTCAAAATAAAAATACAAAAGCTGATAAAAATATACAGAACAAATCCTGCAGTTATAGTTTAAGTTTTCAACCACAACTTTGGGGATATTATACTATTCTGCTTTGGCACTATATGTAATGAGGTATATAGCAAATAACCACAAGTAATGCACAGTGTGACTCGAGTAGCTTCCTGTAAAACACCATGAAATTTTGTATTTAAGGCATGATATTGTTAAAATATTGAGTCAAGTACAAACATCTCACTCTGACGTCTAAAAGAGCAGTCTTCATTCAATCCAAACCAGCTATTGCTCCCTTTTAAAATCCTACATTAAGCCTGATTTTTTAAATAGATAAAAGTATACATTGTATACTTGACACATAAATATTCCACTGTAATAGTTTGTAGATGTTTGTGAACCTGATCCATGGAGAGCCAGTGTGGGTGCAGGTTTTTGGGATGGCCTCTCAATCAGCCAGTAATAAAGCAGCAGTTCTCAGCTCCAGTCCTGGGGACCCACTGTGATCGGCTGGCTGAGAGGTCATCCCAAAAACCCGCACCCGGAGCGGCTCTCCATGGACCTGGTTCGCCAGCCCTGCCCTCATTGCAGCGTAGGTGTTTGCGAGGCATGTGCTATTCCATGGCTTCCAATGGTGCGTCTAATAGCTCAAACATATCGTCAATGACCTGCGACAGGCAGCTGTCCAAGGGAAAGTCATTGTCTACCAGATTGACCAGATAGTAGTTGTCGTGGATGTACTGGATGATCATGCGGGACGGCGATTCCTCCTCGTACAGCTTGGCCCACTGCTCAATCCAAAGGCCAAAGGCTTCATCCTGTCAATGACAGACACGTCCTCAACCTGGCCATGTAATCAGGCACCGGTCACAACCATTATGATGTTACGCAACAGTGCACTGAAAATGTATACAACCGGCAGAATATACATTTAATTTTACTTATGCCTTTGGACAGAACTATTACATGACAATGTCAAACACATTCTTACCTACAAAAACCAGAAAAAAAGAACTCTACAGTTAAGTAAACTTTTCCTAAACATGCTTCTCACGTCAATAAAGCTTATCTCTGAATAGTATGCTGCTCATTTAAGGAATCAATAGAGCCCTTGCTATACCTTCCAGTACATAAAGCTGACTGGATCCACCACAGTGGGCTGAACGATCTCTCTCCCTGGGAAGATGCCCCAAGTCACAGCATTAGGCTGCAGGTCCGGGGCGTTGGTGGTATTTTTACCCTGGAACAGGAGCGAAAGAGCGTCATTGAGCCCCGCAAGGAAAACACGCTGTGGACAGCGGTTCTTTAAAAGAGGAGGAGATCTTACCTGGACATTAACGATGTGGTAGTTCACACGCGGCTCGTATTTTTTCAGCACTTTAAGAAGAGCAGTCACGTTCTCGCTAGATGTGAAGAACTCCAGATACGCCTGTCAGCGTCAAAGCATAAATGTGAGGCAGTTCATCAGATACAGTCAATACCCAACACAACACTGCATCACTGCAAATACCCATTTACACTTTTAAGTTGCAAAAACTTCAGTCTAAAAGTGCATTTATACAGAAAAAAAAAATTCATTGCTCTATTTCAAGCATAAATTGTGGGAACTGACAACCTGTAATGAAAGCAATAGCAAAACAACAAATAGGTTGAACGTCAACAAGGACATTGGATGCACGTCTTGACACTGTAGTGCGGAGGCGCTGCCTGACCTTCTGGAAGACGTATCCTCCAGGTGGTCCCCAGCCCACAATGGGATCAGAGGAGGGCTTCCCGTTGATGTTGGGCTGGGAGTTGATGGTCAGGATACCACGGCGATTCACCTTTTCCAGCTCATCCTTCAGCAAGTTGGTCTCAGGTGCCAAGGGGTCGTCGTTCCATGGCAAACACATCACCTGAGACAGAAGGCGTTAAGCGGCACAACAATCATTCCTTGTTCGCTTCGTACTCTCAGTCTGATGCCTTCCCCTGACTGAGCAGCAGACTCGCTGTGGAAACCTCCCTCACCTTGTGTCCGCAGTGATTAGGCTGCCCCGTGATGTAATTGGTGAACACTTCAAAGACACTCTCTTCATTCATTAGCTCTTCTCCCCACATCTTCAGCAGGTCATCTTTGGAGGACTTGCTCTTCAGGTAGAAGAGGTAATAGTCATTCAGTTCACCAAAGGCAGGAGAGGACGAGTTACCCCTGAAAGAGACAATGATTATGTAAAAAAAAAAATTTAAAAAAAGTCTTAAGACAACCTTCAATTACCAGTTGAAGACTCACCTCTTTCAGAAACACCTAAACCAACCCATCCCTGCCACCTTTGTTCCATTGTGATGTGGCTGACTGGCCATTTTGTAAACTGCACTTAGTTTCTTGTTAGTTTCTATTATGGCAGAACTGATGGAACGATTCTGCCCTTGATTCTAGTCAATAATTGGAAGCCTAGCAGCACCTGTAGCCATGTTGGCTCCCAGACACCTATGTACTTACGTGTGATTTGCCCCACCTGGATTTTTCTTACTATGATCTATATGCACACTTATTCCTCTCATGTTCAACATCCTAAATGATTCCGTTATACAAATGGAAACCTTAAGAACCATCCCCTCCTACTCACCACCTCCCGTTGGGGAACTCGTCCCAGTCCTGGGTCCTATAGATGTAGCTCTTAGGCCTGGAGGCCCAGAAGATCGGCCGAACATCCTCCACCTTGCGCTTGGGGTTTGCACTGAGTGCCCAGGGAAGGGGTCGCCTTAAAGAGGGAAACCATATCTTTTACGGTGCTGCTATACGGGGGCGTGACACGCCGCCGGGGGAAATGGAGACTGCACTGTGGCCGAACCTGGGATCTTCGATCCACAGACCGAGCTGCTTCAGGACCTCCATCGTAGCCACCTCCCGGTTAAGGGTGTAGAAGTGTAGGCCGGGCACATCGCCGGTCTCCAGCAGCACCCTGCACATGCCCACCGCGTGCTGGATGCCGTAGTTACGGATGGCGGCATCGTTGTCTCTTATGGGCTCGATGACGCTTGTGATTTCCTCAGGCACCTCCAGCTTCGACAGCTTCACTAGCTGCCGCAGAGACTGGTAACCCTTGGAAAGCATAAATACCCAAATGAAGTCAAATTAAATGGGCTTTAGCGTCAAACCATCCATGAACAGGTAAACAGTGGCACAAAATAACATCCCCTTACGATGCAACATACAAACAGCAAAGGGCATGAGTGGACAATAATTTCTGTAATTCTATTTATGAAGGTTTTGATTTCCAGCCATTCCAGCCTCTTCTTTACCTGGATAGGAAAGATTCCGGGCAGGATGGGACATGTAATTCCAATAGCCCTACAATCCTTGACAAACTTGAGGAAGGATTCGGCCCGGAAGAAGAGCTGCGTGATGATGAAGTCTGCTCCGGCGTCCACCTTCTCCTTCAGGTGTTTCAGGTCCACCTCATAACTCTCTGCTTCAGGGTGACCCGTGGGGTATCCTTTGCAATTCAGAAATTTTAGGAAAAGGTTACATACAACACATGATTTTCCTCAGAACAACATTCAGCCCCAGACTCTCTGCAAGCATCAGCTGCAAAAAGGCTAAATTAAAATGTCTGACAAGCAAAAAATTATGTAATGGGATAATTTAATTTATGATATTAAAATCTGGACCGGAAGTTATAACATGACACCTGTTTACTCGCGACAGCAATATGGCCGAAAACCTACCAGCGACACAGATGTCAAAGTAATCGTCAAATTCCCAGCGTATGTGTTTGACTAGATCGGTGGCATAGTTGAAGCCACATTCCTCTTCCTCCCACACATCTGCCACGGGATCTAAAGGGCAGCATGCAAAAATCATTAATTCCTTAATTCAGCTTTCTGAGAAAGAGCAAAGAATTAGAAAAGATGAGGGGAGCTGGGGCACCTCCGCGGAGGGCCATGATGTTCTTGAGGCCCAGCCGTTTGGCTTTGGCCAGGTGGCCCGTGATCTGCTCTTTGGTCTGGTTGGCACAGGTCAGGTGCAGGATGCTCTCCAGGCCGCAGTAGTTGACGGCGGTGCTGGCGATCATCATGGAAGATGTCTCCTTGTCGGATCCCGGGTCCCCTGCAGGGTGCCAGGTGACGTCGATGAAGAGCGGCCCACCTGAGCCCATGCGATCAAACCTGCGAAGAAACACATTCAATTTACATTAACTGCACCTTCATAATGCATTCATAAGCAGCACGTAAGTATACCTTAACATCCTAACACCTTAGCAGCTGCAGTATACATTAATAACAAACATTATATGATAATAAACATTATAATCATATAATGCTTGTTACTAATGTGTTTTAAAGTTGTTGAGGTATGTTAGGGTGTTGAGATATACTTACCTGCTGCTTATGAATGTTCTATGAATGCATTACGAAGGCATTATGAAGGTGCAGTTAATGTGAAGTGTTACCAGACATTGAAAGCAGCGGTTCCCGGAGATGCACAGCCTTGCCTCCCATAGCTGAGTCACCAGGCCATGACCACTTACTCCAAGCTGCACTCTTTCATTGATTCACGCTACTTTCCAACAGTCCTACTTGACTGCGTTTAGCCATTGTGTTTTCCTTTTTTTTGGACTACTCTAAGAAAAAAAAACAACATATTGTAGATATTGTAGCACAGACCTGGAGATGAGGTTGACGGCCCCGTTGGAAGTTCGCGGCGGGAAGAACTCCAAGGAGAACCAGCGGTCCCCAGACTCCATGCGCCGGCGCATCTTGTCGCGCAGCCGGTCTGTGCGGTCGGCGTCCAGCACGGGCGTCGAGCAGCGCGAGCTGTCCTTGGAGCTCTCGCCGCCGCTGTTGCTGGCCCCGCTCGAGTCGCTCTTTGAGGCCTGAAAGCTGCCATCCACCCGCTGCACTTGATTCACCATGGCTATCTAGAGAAAGATCCTAACAAAAGACAAGGTGGAAGATCAACACCCAAATGCATTGTGGGTAATTTTTACTGTCCTTATGTCCTAAACATTGCTGTGTATGTTGTGATAACAGTAAAGGATTCTGGGTAACCTCCAGGAGGAACAAGGTACTTAACCTGAATTGCTTTCATAAAAAAACTTAAATCTCTCAGTTCTGTACAGAATACCAGAAAATGTCAGGTTATAAATGATTCTTGCAAACGTGCAGCTGCTCTTAACTGAGTGAATCTAGAAGGTCAGAATTCAGATTCTTAACAGTCATTAAATACTGAGTCATTATATCTATATCACAAAAGGAAGCCTCTTTATACGTTTGTACTGCAGTATATTTCACCGGCACAATTCAATTATCCACGAGTGCTACATCATAGTACATCGTCAGACACATGCAGGGCATTAACATTCAGTTCCGCAAGTTTATGTTTACACGGCAGGATAATATTAGGTCAGCTTCACTTTATGGTCAGCGTGACTCACTCACAGGACTGTGTAATGGAGTTTGACTCGGAATGATGCACTGCTCTGCAGGGTCTACAAGAATCGGCAGATTGGCTGGCTCGCGCGGTGCGTTCATGAGAGCAGTTGTAAATAAACGACACCTCACAGCGTCATGGTGATCTTAATAAATGATCATTAACTGAAATAATGTGGGGAAGGAGCAGGATGTCCGTACTAATTACTGGCTACTTGTTTCTCTACTGGCCATTTAATATTGATGTGCACGTAAGCAACATTTAACCATAAACATAATTATCACACAAAACAATACATTGTAACCTTCCGGAGTTTCCGTCTTCAATAATGTTCACTTCATTTTACGAGTATTCACTAAGATGTAATAATGATGACTGTAGCTCAAGACTGTCAAAAATGTTAAATAAATCAAAGTGGTCCAAACTTGTATGATTTAACTCCGTTAGTGGTTTATTGGCAAATATAATTCAGTCAACTGATTAATGACTTGCATTTGTTCAAATCATATACACAAGCAATCTTGATTAATCAGACCTGAAAAGTGCATTTTTTACATTATCTAGAATTTCACACCACGTACAACTGCGAATCTGAGGCTGTTAGCACCATGAAACACAACACTGAGCAAAATGATCTCTGAAAAACAAATCGGATTGTAGAGTCGAAACATACACTTTTAATAGCAAAGTTTAAAATACACGAAACTACTATCGTATATTCATTGTTACGCAGGATCTAACTGGGAACAAAAGTGGATCGAGGAAAATAGACCCCCTTCGTAGGGGTGGGGGATTATCCCCTTGAATATTACGGATACAGCGGCCCTCCGCCAGGTCCTTAGGGAGTCCAGACGACCATCCCTGAATACATTGGTTATTTGTGCGCTTCAAGGGCTGAAGCTACTGATGACACCTGTCTGATTTATACGTGTTTTCATAAATATAAAAGTAATATTGCAATTAAACTAAACATTAAAACTGACTGGTTTGCACTGCAAAATAACGTGCGCAGTGCACGGCAACAATGAAATCTGTCACGTATACAACATGGTATGCGATCCTAACTTTCACTTAGAATGAAAGATCACGGTACTTTACGGTGGGATCGTATTAAACGTTAACTTACTAAACAAGTATTTAAACCATGCATGTACAGCTACGCCGATGGTTTTTCTGGACACGTGTTCATTCATTCATGTAAATATCTTTTTAAACTACTAAATTGTTTTCAAGCACGTAACATCTCACAGAAAGAATTGCAGCGGTTGCTAAACAGCCTATATTACCAATAATTCCCCACTGTCACTGGATTTCTTGGGTAGACGGAGACAGTAGTGGGACGTTACTCACGATCAGCCGCCGTCCCAGTACTGGTTATTTCCGAAGCGTCGCCAGAACTTAAACCCCGCCCATGCATCGGAGAAGGACGGAATTGGGCCACGTGACCGTCCCCGATTCTCGTACTCTGCGTACGCCAAAGCAGGCTCAACAGTGGCTGACGGCCACTTGGTTACGACGGCTACGTAACCGATATCCTCCTTTCAAGTACCCATATAAAACGGCAAAAAGCCAGTCCCGTCGGCGCTGAAAACTGATGGTTCCAGCCATACGTGTTCTTACGTCCGTGAAAACTTACAGTGATTGTAAAATAATTTAGGATCACCACCCACCGCAAAAATAATCTAGATATTGGCAACTATAAACATAAAGACGAAACTTCTGAGGTCTGTATTATTAGTCATAATTCAATGATTCTATTACAATTCTATATCCTCACCTTGTTCTTTTTTAAACAATAATTCCCACATTAAATATAATATAAACTTCATCTTGACTTTACAGATCACAAAGTACACAAGGAAATACTCTATTTCCCATTCTAATAAGACTATATTATTATTTAAAAATCCAACCTTTAAAATTATTACTTCACCAGTGTAAATGCTGATTAAAAAGGTTAACCACGACACGGTGAGTGTATTTGGTAATTTGATACATATATTCCAGCCAAAATCATTAGACCTTGTCATCTGGTCCTAGCTGGTATGAACTAGTCTGTACTGCTTGTATTAACTACTATTCCAACTCAGACCCACCCATCTATCCATCTTCCATATCCATTTACCTAATCCACTGTTAACGGAAGCCAAGTGAATGAGACAGGGATGTCAGTCCGTCACAGGGCACACACTCAAACAGACATTATGAGTGATTCAGAGACTCCAACCCATATAAATACGTGTTTGTGAACGTTGATGGAAATTACACACACGCCTATAGTGTTGGATGTGTGTTACTGTAGCCCCACCCAAGCCAAGATGTTCCATAGCCAGGGTAAATTTCTGATGGTATACTACAGGAGAAATACATAAAGGAATTTGTTACAAAGACAGTCCAAACTCAACATTCAGTAAAATGCAAAGGACACAATGAAACTGGATTCGTATCTCTGGGTATTTACACATGTAGTTCAATAACACATTATAATGCAGCAGTACTTACAGTACCCTGGGACAAGAGTTGCTTAAAATATGACACAATCCAGATCTTATACTGACAAACAGCAGCATCCATAGCTGTCAGTTGGGCACACCAAATATAGTACATTTTATAAAAATAGCTGAAACAAAGTGCTACACACAGTAAGCTCACTAGATATGTTAATTAAAAATATTAGTACTATTACTCAAGATAATTTCATGGCACTGCCTCCCTTATATAACATACAAAATGTGTAAAAATGCTTAGAAGTGACGTACAGAACTGAAAAGTAAGGTAGTGTCATTTAACTAATAGGTCGCAGGATGTACGGAAAAGGTTTTGCACAATTCGCAAGCGGCCCAGCAGAGAGCGCTGTTGGCAATGTTTCGCAAAGACGCGAGCACACAGGGTAGAGTAGCGCGAGGAATTTGGTGGAGTTGTCCATTTCGCTAGTATTTTGCTCTTAAGTGTCGGTATCTCCTAAATTTAATCCGATCGGCAATAAATTTAACACTTCATAAACTTATTTATAATGATGTTGAATGAATACATTTTAATATTTGGACAAAAAGGTATGATGTATCAGAGGGGTATGTTATGAGACATTTCTGATTGTATTACTTTATATTTATTAATATACGCTTGTTTTGTGTGAGGATTTTGAACCGAATATGTTACTTATTAATGACTTGTACAGAATTGACACCATTCGTTACGTGGAAATTCAGTAACACCGCGGAAAAGACTAGCAACTACTTTTGGAGTGAAAAATTACCTGTTAAACAGCAGCTGTACGAGAAGGCGCATAGCAGATTAAATATATCGAGCATTTTCAATAAATACAAGAAAGAAAACTCTGCCAGCAGGAAACACCTACGTACAATCAAATTATTCTCTAATGGTACTCACAATGTATCCCTTGCATAAAACATTTCTACCGTCTCCCGGTGCATCGATATACCCAGCATGACGCGCCATGTGCGCGCTCCCGCTTCAGAAACTCGCGACATCGGCACGTGACGACAACACGAGCAGGTGGGAGGGGCCTGTGGGTCACATGACACGTGTGTTGTCAATGGGATCGATCGGCCGGTGAAAATGGCGTGTTGTGGGAGCTGTCTGTGCTGCCAGTGCTGCTGCAGGGAAGGCGAGACGCGGACCCCCGAGGAACTGGTACAGTGGGCCGAACGAGCGGTTGACTCGCAGAACTTTAAGATGATGGCTGTGTTCACCTTTTATACGTGTATGTTATTGGATTTTTTTTAAATTCAGTTAGCACGAAGCTAGGTCCATGGCTCCGAAAACTCCACCCTGCATCGCTAGGTAGCCAGCTAGCAATCTGATTATTTTGAGTTGCCAGTTCTCATTATCCTCATAAATGATTTGCTGTGAAATGTTATATCGTGCGGAAACGGCGTTTCTTAGTCGTTTTGTTGCAGCAAAAAGTACAACCTGAATTGCTGGTTTCACATTACAGGGGAACTGCATTGTCTGCAATTAAATAAATGCAGAGTTAATGTTTTTTTTTCCACTGCCATCGCCACAGGATTTTAAAAGCTAATAATGTACAGAAAGCAAGAGGTTAATAAGTAGTCGAAATAACGGGTGATTCCACGTTAACTATGACTTGCATAGTGAAACATGAGTCATGCAACAGCAAGCTAGCTGGCAGATGCCCCGCTTTGTTTGGCAGTATAACTATGGGGCTGGCCATCGCGATCCCTGGCGCTAAATAGGTCTGATCCGTTGAGACTTATTATAAGTCGTATTATTTCAGTATTGAAGACCGTTATCAGCAGAACCAGACAACGCCCTCATTATAGCTTGTATTCATGAACGGAATGTGGTGCAACTTTTGGTCCATGTTTGTTTCCTGGCTTGTGGCTTCACGTTCTATGGATGATTCAGAACCAGAAGGTATCCCAATACAACCACACCAAAGCAAGAAACTTGAACCGCATCTAAAATTATTAAATAAGCTTTTATCTTTATGCCATAATATAATGCTCTCTTTTTTCATTCTAATATGCTGTGATGCCAGACAATTCTTGGGGAGACACGCGAAGATGAAGATGAGATCCTTCCACGGAAAGATTATGAGGTAAAATATATATATATATATAATATATTCTGTGGTGGATCCAAAGTACATGCATGTTAACTATTTCCCAGTCATGAGATGTGTTGGAAACAACACAATACTTTTGCGTGATTGGGTAATAAAATGCTGACTTTGAGCTTGTTCTCCTGCGGCAGAGCTTGGACTATGACAGGTGCATCAATGAACCGTATGTCGACGTCCTGGAGGGCATTGATAATAAGGTAGTCATAATAATACGTTTTCATTGGCCACCCTATAAGTAGGAAGTCGCAATAAAAAGATTTTACTGCCCTTGGTGATAGTAAATTTGCTGTAGAAACCTTTATGTTTGGTAATATGCAATGTACATTTATTAAATGGTAAAATGTATGTTAGTTGTTATAACGGTTAGTATCAAGGGCTAGGAGGAGTTGGGTCTGTCCTACTGTTATGAAAGTCTCTACAGTCAGCTTGCATCCAGCATTCATTGGGGCATCTACACTAACTGCCAAAACATGCTTCCTACTACTCAGACTTAGAAGGAAGGCTTGGATGATCTTCATTTGTTACATCTATGAGTCACTTCAGTTTTCTGTTTATGTTTCATTGAGTTTAGGACTCTGAATGACTCAGCCCAGCTTTGGGAAACTTTAATTCCCCTTTGGCAAAACACATGTCAAATTGTCACAGTAACTCTTCTTAACATTATTATTTTTTATTGTCTTTTATTCAGCAACATTATATGCATTTTGTTTTAGCCAAGAAAGTAACTTTTTTTTTCTGGTTTTTACTTAAAAAATAGAAAGCAAAGAAGTATGAAGCTGTGAAGTGGATGCTGGTGTTTGCCATCGGCGTTTCCATCGGCATGGTGAGTCATTTTTAATTCATAGTTTATTACTATGGAGAGATTCTGCATTTGAAACTCCTCTGTGCTGCCTCCGGCCTGTGGACAGCTGTAATGTGTGACTTTGAAAGAGGAAACTGTGAGCCCTTGTTTGGTTCTTTTCAGGTTGGCCTTTTTGTGGACTTCTTCGTCAGACTGTTCACTCAGCTGAAGTTTAATTTGGTTGGAAGATGTATCCTTTGTAAATTACATAATCGCTTCCACCCAGCTAGCAATTAGATTTCACAAGGTTGACGTGCCGATCCTGTAATTGCAGCCTTGCTTCTCTGTTTATGTGACCCTTGCTTGTCCAGGTCCACAGACTGTCCCCTTGCTCTGTCCTGCCTTGACTCCCTTGCCTAAGCTGTGGAGGAGTGCAGTGAGAGAGGCTGCCTGGCTCTTTCTCTGCTGGAGCTGCTGGCCTTCAACATGGCCTTTGTCTTCATCGCCAGCATGTTTGTTCTCATCGAGGTACAGCGTCGGAGCCAAACCCTTCCCGCATTCAACTGGCGCTTAATGTTCTCTCCCAGTGATCATAATTTTTATTTTAGGGGAAAAACATTCAGGTTTGATTTTTTTGGTTTGCCACCTGTGGTTGAGTTTTGAGGCATTGAGGGTGTTTGCCCCATACAGTCATCCATGCTCACTTGCAGCTCATGCTTCTGCATCTGCCTTTATAGCCCATAGCAGTGGGTTCTGGCATCCCCGAGATCAAGAGCTACCTGAACGGGGTGAAGATCCCTGGCATTGTCCGTCTCCGCACGTTCCTCTGCAAGGCCCTTGGTGTTCTGTTCGCGGTGGCTGGAGGTATCTCACCGTTCTTTGTACTTTGACCACGGATCGAAATGAAAACCTGTTTGATCTCCACCTCGTTCCACGAGTCGGCCAAATCAAACATTCCCTACAACAATAATACAGAGATGAAAACTGATTCATTGCTTAAGGGAGAGATGAGCTTCAGTTATGTGGCTTTGCAGTGTTATTTATTTACGTGGAAGGCAGTGGACTGAGATATAATGTTCCTCAGATCCATTCACCAGAACTTGGGCGTTTTCGTACAGTGCAGTCCTTACACTCTTTTCATTGGCTAAGGGGTTGTCAGTATAGCTCAAAGGTGGTAGGAGTTAATGCTGTCAGCATACATGTTCACTGGTAACATCGGGGGCTGTTTTGAGGTTGATTTAATTGCAGAGACCACCACTGTCATGGCTGAGCGTGTCCCAGCAATGTCGCACTGCCTCTCTCAGGTTATAACTGAGTCCTCTTGTTCCCAGGTCTCTTTGTGGGGAAGGAGGGACCGATGATACACAGCGGGGCCATCGTGGGTGCTGGGCTTCCTCAGGTACACCAAGTGTTCGCTGCTCAGTGAGCTCTGGTCACGTGACAAGGGATGGTCACATGATAGAAATGCTGAAATATAAGCAAACTTTGACTGTACTGGGAGTGTTTGGCAGTTTACTGTAGTCTAATGTTACCATGCTAAAGTATAATATTATTGCTGTATCGTTGTAATTTTACATTGTACTTTACGGTATCGGTCAAATCATTTTTTTGGTCTTTATTTTAACTTCACGCATTCTCTAGTTTCAGAGCATCACATTCCGGAAGATCCATCTTAACTTCCCCTATTTCCGTAGCGACAGGTGAGCTCCTCCTGCTTCCCAGAATCCTCGCTGGCCGTACCTCTGCTGACTTTCTAAACGTGTGTTAGACATCGACCGAGAAGAGCGGCACCCACAGTCTAAAATTTGAGAGAGTCATTGTGTAGCTTAGTGTCAGACTGCTTAGTCAGTGATTTTTTTAAGGGGAGTTTTTTCTGTAGGTCATTTTATGTAAAGTGACTTAGACAGCAGTTTCAACTATTCTTGCTGACTTATCTGACCAGATACTATTATTGTCATTATTAATATTCCATCTATCCCTGTTCCCATAATCCTTTGTCTGGTACAGGGTTCCTGGCTCCTACCCTAGAGTGCCTGAGGATTGTCGTTATTTTGGCAGGGTTTTCATGGTAAAGGTCAAAGCAGCTGCACCCTGCTGGCAGAGGTGGAAGGTTCAGGTCCAGAGAGTACAAATCCAGACCAAGGTTTTGTTTCAACCAACCAGTTGAGTACTCTGTGACTGTGACTGTTCCTACTCAAGTGGTTGGTTGAAACAAAATCTTGGTCTGGATTTGTACTTTCTGGACCTGAACTTTCCATCTGGTCAGAAGCGCAGGTCTTCAGCCTCTGTGTTCCTGTTGTCCTGTAAAAATGGCAGGAACGGCAGACGGCTGCTATGTGACTGTGGGCCGAAGCCTGTGCTGAGTCACCCGAATGGTGTCACGTGTGTGAGTCGCTCCTTCTGTGCCGTCGCAGGGACAAGAGGGACTTCGTGTCTGCGGGGGCTGCGGCAGGCGTGGCAGCCGCCTTCGGGGCGCCCATTGGGGGGACGCTCTTCAGCCTGGAGGAGGGCTCCTCCTTCTGGAACCAGGCCCTCACCTGGAAAGTGGTGAGATTGCAGAGCTGAGCCCGTCTGCCTCTCTGTCTGACAGCGGCATTAGATTTTTGTGAATGAGCAAATACTGAACTTTTACTGGACAGACTAATATCATAATATTAGTATCATGTGTATAGAAATAGATGTTAAAATGGTTAACAGTTGTGCTTTGATTGTAGAATCCTCATAAATGCGTATTTGTTCATAATCCCTGGGCAGGAATGCAGAGCCCTGCACGATTACACCTCTCAGGTCTGGTTTGGGAACAATTATCTCAAATCGGCAGTTTACTCTTTGAGTGGGGTGTGGCATTTGAAGCGAGCTGTGCTGTAACCGCGGATGTAGATTGTCTGGTGACACAAAGGGCCGACGCTGACGCCCTTGTCCCCCGTCCCTCCCCTCCTCCCGCTGCACAGCTCTTCTGCTCCATGTCGGCCACCTTCACTCTCAACTTCTTCCGCTCGGGAATCAACTACAGCAAGTGGGGCTCCTTCCAGCTGCCCGGTCTGCTCAACTTCGGCGAGTTCAGGGTGAGGCGCTCGCTCGTCATTTCAGCCTGAGGGGCCTCCTCACTGGGCTTCCCCCATGAAGTCCTTTCCCAACTGGAAAGGTGACCCAAAACCATACCCTCATCAGTGGTTTACAAGTCACATCTCATAGCTTGCGAGTAATTTTCCTCTCTTCTCTGATTCATCTCCACTGTACTTAGGGCAACATCTTTATGTTCACTTGTGTCTTTGTCAAAGGCAGAAGTGTAAAGATTTCTTGGGATTTGATTTGGAGTTGCTGTGCTGTTTTGCTCTTTAGGACAGCTGGATTCTCTGCTGGTTGTGGAGAATCTAGCACACTTGTATGTGACTCTCTCTCTCTCACTCTCTCTCTCTCTCTCTCTCTCTCTCTCTCAGTGTCTGAATGGGGACAAGAGTTGCCACTTGTGGACAGCAGTGGACTTGGCGTTCTTTGTGATCATGGGTGTCGTGGGTGGCCTCTTGGGGGCGCTCTTCAATTGCATGAACAAGAGGCTGGCAAAGTACCGCATGAAGAACGTGCACCCCAAAGCTAAGTTCATCAGGTACTGTCAAATCCCCCTCCCCTTGATCCAGCATCTACTACTGCGTTCATAAGTGGTGGCTACTTTAACATTAGCTTTGTGCTAATGTGGCTACTTGTTCACCGTAATCCAACAGTGCTTGAATTTTTCCATACATTTTCCAGGAAGCTCAAGGGACCCTCAGCATGTTAGGCCATTGATTAGTGTTTCCCAATCCGGTCCTTGGGGCCACAGACAGTCTGGCAGGGAGCTTGGAGGGAGCAAAAACATGGACCGACTTTGTGTCCCTGAGGACCGGACTGGGAAACACTGCCATATACTATGGGGTAGTTCAGCAACCCTAGTTGACTCACCACATGTTTTGGGGAAAACCTTGTGGAAACGAGGAGAACATGCAACCACATACAATGCAGGGGGCACCGGAGTGTGCAAGGAAACATTTAATTAAAAATAGTGAACAGTGTGCTACTTCGTATTTTGGTTGTCTCTGCCAAAAACAGCTTTGAGTGTGTGCGCACGTGTGTGTGTGTGTGTGTGATTTCTTTTCTTTTGCTTTACTTTAGGTTTAATTTAATTTAGGTTAATATTAAGTGACATTTCATCCACTAAAACCGTTAAACTGGTTGATCATTTTAAGAAGGTGAAGCTGCAGAATGAGCGATGTTTCTGTTCGGCTAACTCCGGCCCACTTTGTTTCCCTCCTTTGCCCCACCCCCCCGGCCCCCCCATGGTCTGGTGTCAGGGTGCTGGAGAGTCTGCTCATCTCCTTGGTAACGACGGTGGTGATATTCGTGGCCTCCATGACGCTGGGAGAGTGCCGCGACCTCTTGCCTTCGACGTCCAACAACACCACCACTCTGGTAAGTCCCCTCCGCATTTAGTGTGCTGTGTGTTCTTTGGGGGCGGCGGGCGTTAAATCGATGGCTAAAGCAAGAATCTGCAGGTGTCGGGCAACGAGGACGTCAACTCCACCGTGAAGCAGTTCTTCTGCCCGAATAAGACGTACAACGACATGGCTACACTCTTCTTTAACCCCCAAGAAGTGGCCATCAACCAGCTCTTCCACCAAGATGGTGAGCTAATGTCTCGGGCCGGCACACCATGAGTATAGCACCCCTCTGGGGCTCTGACACACCTTTCCACCCTGCACCAGGTGCACAGATGCACACCTACCATTTTGGTTTATCTGAAGTGACCCGTACTCTATGGAATGCACATTTACACTGCCTGTATTCCTTCATCTGCTCCATAATCTTCATCTGCTGATCATAGTGTCTAAAGTACCACTGAACACCTTGTAACTTGATCTTCTAAGTTGCATGAATCGACCTTCATTCACACTTCAGAGCTTCCCCAGCCTTCAGGTCCCACGTCCGTCCTGCTTCCTGCTAATTACCCACTAAGTCTGGGACTCTGGCTGTTTAGGTTAAATATTCACAGCAGCAGAGCCGCACTTCCGGGCGTGAAACGTGCTCTTGACCGCCGGCCGCCGTCGTCTCTCTTGCAGGAACCTTCAGTCCGGTGACTCTGACCATCTTCTTCGTGCTCTACTTCCTGCTGGCCTGCTGGACATACGGAGTCTCTGTTCCCAGCGGCCTTTTCGTTCCCTCCCTGCTCTGTGGTGCGGCCTTCGGCCGTCTGGTGGCTAACGTCCTCAAAATGTAAGCCTGGTGCCACTACTCTAGTGTCCATGTGTTTTGCACGCAGTGCATAGAAATTTGAATCTAAGTAGCACTGCTATTCCGAAACTGGCTCAGGTATAACAGTGGTTTGGTAATCTATTGGCAGTAAGGGGCAGCCAGTGAGGTACAGTGAAATTCCATTTTGTATTAAATATTTTCCTTCAATTAATTACTTAATTTTTTGTAACAGGATCTCAGTACAGTGCATTACGGTTGTAGAAAAGAAGTTAAGTTTTTCTGTGGACATTTCTATAGCCAGCCTTGTATATCCTGAACTTACTTGCACTGTACACTGTAACGCACTGTATTAATTTTGTGCTGTATATCTATATATTTAATAGTATTGGGCTGAGCGATATCTAAAAAGTTGCAATATTTTAATTTGAATGCAGATGAAGGATAATATCATTCTGTCCCCACCGCCATACACTTTTTTTGGCCAAAAGTGTGAAAAAGCAACGTACAGAAAATCCACTAAACGTCCAGCATTAAAGCGCGACAGCCTGGTGCCGATTAGCATCGTTTGTTTTAGTCTCTCTGGAAAACGAACGATCAACATGCCAGATTAAATTATGATTTCACAACCCGCCTAAAGCAGTGGTTCACACACTATTGTTTACATACACTGATATCTTTGTGTACCATACAAGGAGCTAAAAAATAGTACTGAGGTTTTGCTTAACTGGAAAGGAAGACCAGATGGCCAAACTGAAAGACGGCTCTCGTGTGTAGCCTTGTGCTTGTGGCCCTGACAGGCACTGATCACCACTGAGTCACTTCTCTGATATCATTGATTATTAATAATATTGTCATATTGCCCAGGCCTGTTATACTGTAGAGGTCTATTCGGTAATACAGAATACATTTCAGAAATTCTTCTGCGTAAGGCTCCCCTCGTCTTACTGCCAGTAAATACAGAGATTTTAAAAGCATCCACCCTTTACAAACTGTCAGTGTTTAAGCAGCTCCCGGCTCGCAGCATGCGAGCAGCTGGCTTCCCGCCTCGTCTTGTGCGTTTGATCTCCAGGGCTGTGGGTTTTCTGTGTCACCCGCCTTCGTCCTGGTCTGGTGCTGACCCACTTCTACCTGTTCTAATTTAGCTTTACGAGATGTTACACACTGGTCGTTGATCCGCAAGTAACAAAAGGCGGCTAATCACATTCAGTGAAGAAGCTCCTGCTTTGTTACATGTCGTTTTTACCCATGGAGTTTTTTCCCCCCCTCAAGTGCTCAGTTGTATTTCCTGGCCTGTAGGCAGTTTCCCACAATGCACCACTCCCTCTGTTGTCCTGACTTGACCTGCTTTGCACTAATTCTTCCCACATTGTCTTCTTCCCTTTACCCCAGAAACATTGGCATGAACATATACTCTGGGACCTTTGCTCTGATTGGAGCAGCCGCCTTCCTGGGAGGCGTGGTCCGGATGACCATCAGCCTCACTGTAATTCTTATAGAATCGACCAATGAAATCACATATGGGCTGCCCATTATGATAACACTAATGGTAATGTGTGTATAATATGTTTCTTTTTTTATCCATACTTCCCAATTGGGCAATCATAAAAGCAATTTTAGCATTTTATAAAATGAATTACCAGAGAGTTGGATTGGTTTTTTTGTTTTAATATTGAGCTGACATTCATAAATTGAATGTGTTGTGCTTAATGGTTTTCTTAAGCTATAAGACTTAAATATTGGAAATTGTCCAGAATAATTGGTTTGGAGGTTGTACTGTGTTGCCATAGGTTCTAATGTCTGTTGTTTTGCATCAAGGCTTCGTTGAACTTTGGTGAAAGATTAGTTGCTAAACTGATATGCTAGAAAAATTTTGCAGGCATGGTGTGACTTGAGGCTTCATGCTTTGCAATGATCCAAATGTTTAGATTATTGTATGAAACTACTTTCAGGTGGCAAAGTGGACCGGGGATTTCTTCAACAAGGGCATATATGACATCCACATTAAGCTGAAGGGCGTTCCTCTTCTGGAGTGGGAGACAGAGGCGGAGATGGACAAGTGAGTGATCCAATGAGAAGCGCTGCATTTATGTCGTACCCCCACCCCCCCCCACCCAGAGAAATGGCTGAGTGCCGCCCTTGGTTTCAGGCTGACGGCCAGTGACATCATGGAGCCCAACCTGACCTACGTGTACCCACACACCCGCATCCAGTCCCTGGTCAGCATCCTGAGGACCACGGTGTACCACGCCTTCCCGGTGGTGACCGAGAACCGGGACAACGAGAAGGAGTTCATGAAGGGCAACATCCTCATCAGTAACAACATTCGCTTCAAGGTAAATGCCGCACCCGACCACTATGTGGCACTAGAACTCTGTGTATGTGCCCTTGCTCCACAGAATTGTGGTGCCAGAATGACACTGTTAATCTGGCAGCAGAGAGGTTTGTGTGTGTGTGTGTGTGTGTGTGTGTGTGTGTGTGTGTCAGTCACTGCAGCTCGGAAATATCCCCTGCAAACAGGGTCGGCTCTCGCTATATACAGTCACCTAGGGCCCCCAAATTACCTGTATTGTGGAAGACCTGAAATAATAATCTTTTCTTGCTAGGCCTCCCAATTAACATTTTGCGTAGGGTCCCAGAGAAGGTGGATATATGGCAGCATCTTGGAGAAAGAGCTGCTTGTTTGTAGGGGGGTGGGAGGTATGTACAGAGGTCAATACAACATGAAGAGGTCATGCCCTCTGAGCAGGTCTCCATTGTCCCGTGAGCATCACTGCAGGTATCTAAATTTGGAATCTGAAGTTTGTGTATGCCTTATGATGATGGTGCCTCTTGTGGTCCACCCTCAGAAGAGTAGCGTCCTGACCCGGGCCGGCGAGCAGCGTCGGCGCTGCCATTCCATGAAGTCGTACCCGTCCAGCGAGCTGCGGAATGTCTGCGATGAGCAGGAGGTTTCCCAGCCGGTCGGAGATAGCCAGGACATCTTGGAGCAGATGCTGGAGAGGAGGTGGGGGCCGGCTGAGGGGGGGGCACCAAACCACACGTTTGAATTTTCTTCAATGGACCATCTCCTGTAACCCTTCACAAATTCAGTTTGCTGAATCAGGGCTAGGAATTTTATCGTAGTAACGCGTAGCATTAATATTTATTCATAATATTTCTTTGATCAAATTAACGCATGGAGCTTGTCGATATCCTAATGCGAGTATAGTATGAGCGAAGATTTTTCATTGAGACCTGCAACATTCCTTCCTGCTTGTAAACAACGTGAGTTTACTTTGTGACACCACACAGAATCCCATAATTCAAAGCTAAAATCAAAACAATCAATTAGCGTCTCATGGGGAAACTGATGTAACCTTTGTTTTAAAAATTTGTCAGACGGATGCATACTTAGGATAAAAATGTCATAATTTTCGTTCTACCTTAAAATATTTAATATGGTTTTTTTATGTTTCTAAGCTCACTTTCAGTGGTTGTCAAGCTTCTGTTTGTAGAGGCATTTTCCAAAATGTTTCTGCATTTTAATATTCCTTATTCGTTACTTTGCTGGCCTTCAGTCGGCATAATATAAAGATGAAGACATTGTATTTATGATGATGATGATGTTGTTGATGCTTTATTTTATATTTGCACGAGTACATTGGAATTCTTATTTTTCCTACCATGAATAGCGAAACATGAGAGTGAAACGTGGGGTCTGAGCGCTGGAGTCATGCCATTTATCTGGCCCCCCTGGAATGTATTGTAGGGTTAGGGGCCTTGCTCAAGGGCCCAACGGTCATGTGACTGCAGGCCTTATCTCGAGAACTATCAGATATTCACGAAGCAGCCTTAACATTTCCAGCAGTGTTTTGTGTTGAGAAGGTTAACTTGAAGTCCAGGCAGAAAGTTCCTCCTGCCCTAATATACACGGTATCTGTGGGTGTGTTAGTGAGTGTCCCTGGCGTCCATCTTGCAGGCACACGCCTTACCCCAGCCTGTACCCCATGGAGTCCCCAAGCGAGGACTGGACCATGGAGGAGCGTTTTCGGCCCCTCACCTTCCACGGCCTGATCCTGCGCTCGCAGCTGGTGACCCTGCTGATCCGCGGCGTTTGCTATGCAGAGAACCAGTCGGTCAGTGTCCCGCGGGGCATCGCGGTTCCCCGGGCAGGATCGTCAGCATCCGGCCCGGCACAGACCTCCACCCCCCAACTCACTGTGTTTGTGCGGAGATGTATGTTATGCATTAAAGTTTGATTCGGCACCCCACATGCTACATACAATCATTGCATTTAATTTTTGGGCAGTCAACGCAGGCCGGACCATTTTGATAGTATATTAATAATAATAATGATGATAATAGTAATAATAATAAGGAAAATAATAATTTTTTTAAAGCAGTTGCACCATCTTAAATTTAAAATAGGACTGGAATTTTGTCAGTCAATTCTGCAGTTCTGATATGAGGTAGGAGTTTGAGCTCCATTTTTGGAGGCACCGCACAGATTACGTTTAACGAACAGAACTCGAATGTCGTTCCCCGGGTTCTGCAGAGTGCCGCGCAGCCACGCCTGTCCTACTCGGAGATGACGGAGGATTACCCCCGCTACCCCGACATCCATGACCTGGACCTGACCTTGCTGAACCCGCGCATGATCGTGGTGCGTCTCCGTGCCTGGCGCTGCTGGTGAATGTGATGTGGAGGGTCAGGGGGTCGCTTGATGTTGGTGTTTTTGTTCACGCTCTCAGGATGTCACGCCCTACATGAACCCGAGCCCCTACACGGTCTCCCCAAACACCCACGTGTCTCAGGTGTTCAACCTCTTCAGGACTATGGGAATCCGCCATCTCCCTGTGGTCAATGCTGTTGGAGAGGTACTCTACAAATTTCACAGACTGCTACAAATGCAGCAGCTTAGAATGTGACTGTCATTATATGTCTATAGGTATGCATAAGAATGACTACATAGCAGTCTGCATTAGACCTGGATATTGCCATCTAGTTCACAATATAAAACTTTTCACAATACTAGTGTCATGATTCAATTCATCACGATTCATCATGATATTACCATTGTATCCTTATGGTTAGAATAATTGATCTATTTAAATTTAAAATAGGCCAAATTTAATCAACAGCCATGAATAGCCCTTAACTACCAAGGATAATTCAGTATCTTATATAAAGTTGTTGCAGACGTCACTTCCCAGTTGTATAAACTTAAAGGCAAACGGGGAAAAAAGTATGGAATTAAATATTTGACTTGACAACAGCATTTCAGAGGTAGAAATCTCACTGCATTCTTGCTTTGCAGTGCACTTAGCATAGGCTACATAAACCGCATATTTTTAATTAGCAAATGTTGAAAAAGTATAAAACATTCACCTCTATCATTGTTAAACGGTACTGCAGTAAATGAATAAATTGATGCAAAGGTTCAAAATATCGATGAAAAATTGTGACACTGAATTGCAGTATTGATACAGCTGTAGTTTGCATCACAGTATTTGTATTTTACAACGTACAATGTGTTTCTTTCTCTGTATATGACCTTTGAACTCCACCTGTTATTAATTCCTAGCTACAGCCGTGTTCCCTTCTAGCCAGTCAGATGTCACCACAGTGCTGTCAGCTTTTCCCTCATCATCCTTGATGCCACGCCCCCTTTATTCCCGCCACCACGTCCAGCTTCCCGTTCTTCTGTCGGTTCCCTTTCAGATCGTGGGAATTATCACGCGGCACAACCTGACGCACGAGTTCCTGATGGCCAAGCTCCGACAGCACTACATCACCATCTAACCGGCGCCGCTCGTCTCCACCGGCCCGTCAGGAACGGCCCCGCCGCGGAACAAAGAGGTATCCAGAACCACCCTCCAGAACCACGGTCATTCCTGCCCCGCCCACAGCTCCTGCCACAGACGCCGATGCTTTGTCCTCACTGTCAGAGGGATTTTAGGGACGGTCGGATGGTCCCTGTCGGCTCTCTTCGTTATTAGACCCGCGCCGTTTGCTTCCCGCTGCCCTGATCTGCGGAGTGCTTCACCTGATCTACTGTTGCTTGTGACCTCCATGATGTATCATCAGTGCTTTGCAGCATCAGAACTTTTAAACTGACTTTAATCACCTTTTATTTCATTTTACGGCTTTTTTAAGTATTTGCATTATTTGCACTAGAACAGTTTTAGCTAATAGCATTCCGAATCAGGGCCTATTCGTATATAAGTGTGTTTTTTTTTTTTTTTTGAGACCTCAGAGTTCAAAATTGGGACGGTTATGAATGGGTGATTGAAATGCGGCAGCGTACAGGTAACGCATGGTGTGTGCCGTAAATCGTCATTCCCGGGGCCGGGGAGGGGGGTTGTCATCTGTTTTCAGTGAAACAGTTGACCGTAAAAATTTGTGTACCAATCACCTGTTGGGACTGATCAATTCAAAGGAAGTGAATAATTTTTAAAGCTCCCTCATGAAAAAAGGGGGAAATAGTATTAGCTAATAGTCAGGGCATATTCCCTTGGTTAACTGGCAGGAGGTACCTGGAATGTCTCCCTTCAGATGCACCAATAAGTGGCTGTAATGTGGTTCTTTGGAATCCAGTCATGACTAGGAGAAAGTAACACTAACGTATCAGTGTAGACAGTTTGGGCACCTGTGTCGTCTGATATCCGTGGGACCATTTGCATGATGTCGTGTAGAGCCCCGCATGACCTGACCATAAGCTAGTCACATAGTGTCCATGCAGGACGCAGTGAGTGCCAGTCCATCACAGCGGTCACACAGAAGGGCAGCGATCACAAAGGACGTGTGCAGGGGGCCAATTGGGACTGTACCACTAAGAGACACGGGGGCGATTTAGTCAGACCCTATGACAGAGAACAGATGAGACACTTCAATTTTCCATTTTTTGCTGCAGTGTCATTTTCAGTGCATGTAACTTAAGCTGATTATATTTTTGTACTTTTATTTATTTTTTAATTTGATTGACAGTCATACTGTGAAGTGCTTTTATATTGTTAATAATAGTAATATTCTGTATTGTCAAACCGAGATAGAAAGTTCCAGTCACAGTAGGCAGTCTAGCTGAAATTGTGAAAATGTCCCCCATTCCCTACAGATCTGGAGGAACAATTTGTGTTGCAGTCTGAGTTGAGAATTTGTTCTTTGAGTAGTGCAAGCTAGATAGATATTCTGCCAGATAACACTGTGAAATGCTATTGCTTGCCCTGGTTGCTTTTAGCTTTCCATTATGGAGATGTATGAATCTGACCTGAGATTCTTTTTCATTTATATCCAATCCTCAGGGACCCCCCCAGATGGTCCACGGTCTCTGAGGACCTATTTGAGAAGCACTGTTTTATATTCTATGCCTGCTTTCGGATCTGTATGAAACTGAAGCGTAACCAGGGAGGAGGAGCCAAGACTGACCAGTCATACTTTCAATATTAATCCTGTAAAAACCAACCAAAAAAAAATCTGTTTGCTCGTGCTGCACTGGCAAGATCGTGCTACGAGCATATCAGCAGTCCAGGGAACATCTTGGCACAAAGGCGTGCCGTTGTTAACGCGGTACAGGTCTTGTAGAGCCGGGGACGGGTTAGTCAGCCTCACGCAGGGCTAGCATGGCTCGACATAGTTATGTGCTGATGTACTGGGGTCAGGTGCTGTGCTTGGTCCTCTGATGTAACGCAAGAATGCCTGAAACTCCTAGTGCGGAAAGTCTGGTTCTGTGCCAGATTATTCATTATGAATAATAATAATAATGATTTTTAATTGCTAAGCAGATGCTCTTTTCCAAAGCTACTTACACAAATTAGTTGCTGGCTTATACATTTATACACACGACTGTTTTTACTGGAACGAGTTCAGATTTTGTACCCAGCTTTTAGCTATGAGTCCAGGTTCTGCTCCTGCAGCCTGACCTTTGCCCTTTCACCCTTGGCCATTTTGAGCCGCGTCATCTTCCTTTACACGCCTGAGTCATGCCTGCGTTTTTCTTCCGTGTGCCCGAATTCCCCGGCGGGCCGCATACTGTCGCATTATGGAGTCGCGGGCCGCACGCCAGCTGCTATGCAATTAAACGGACGTTACGGCGTTCCGTCGCATTGACCCGGGACCCACCTGCCTCCGGCATCTCGCCTTCCTACCGAGCCCTAATTAGCCCTGATTCAGCCGTTTGCTCACTTCTGGCTGTGATTTGACGCATATTTCCATTTCTTTAAATACTTCATGAGGTGTATTAATACTGAGAATAAAACATAAAAGTAACACGTTTGTTTACTGAGCTTTCAATTACCGTTCAACATTTACACTAAATAAATTAGGTAGTCATAAGTTAAATAATGCATAACTGTATTGTTTGGACTGCATATCCTCTGAAGTATGGGGTTAAAGCTCAGGACGTTTCAGGATGTTTTTGTCCGTTTGATTGGACACAAGGGAATTTATTGAGGAAATTTATTTAGCTACATCAGTGTACAGCTTCGACATTTGATTGAGTTGCCCGTGGCTGGTTTGTCAGGTGTTTTGTAACCACTCTGTCAAGCTTCAATCTTTGTTTTTATGGACTATGTTCAGTGGAATGAAACTGGAGAGAGAGTGGCTTCCCTGGACTGGCACTTGGAAAGGCAGGCGTAGCGATACTGGAAAACTGAAAGCGCCGGGCGCGCAGTGTAAGTGATGGGCCTCAACCTGCAGGAGGCAGATAGTCCATCCGGCCTGTCCGAACCACTCAGCCCAGTCTACACCTCATTTTACACATGGAGTTTTTTTCCTGGATAGGTGGTTTTGATAGGTTTCTGATTAAATTTCATTAAATTGCTACGTGGACCGTGTTCTGGTCGTTTGTAGATGAAATGTGAGATCCCAACTCGATGGAGGGAATCCCACTCGTAATATTTCCTTCTTTCCTGATGGGGGATGCCCGGGGATTAGTGTTTTATTATAGGGCCACTCTGTCTCAATGATGGAAGTAGAGTCCTCACATTCACATGGAGAGTCTGATGGAAGCATAACAATGGTCTTTGTGAACGACATCACTGTGATGGACTTTAGGAAGGATGCACACACAGTGTCCGGAAGGTTCTGTTTTCTTTAGGATCTGTGTGTCTGCAGAATCCCTGTTCATAGGTCTGGTCCCACTGTCATTCTGCTTCTAAAAGTCATTTCAGGATGCCGACATGAAATTATTTTGCACTTGCATTTTGTGAAAGGAATTTTTTTTTATGCATATTTGTGTAATAGTATAATTTATTATCCATGATAAAACACAGGACAAATCTGACTGAAATACATTTGTTGCATTTCATTACATGTATACATAAGTAATCACACAATGCTTTGTGAAACTGGTACCAGTGTTGATATGTTATACATTTGAATAATAATCAAATTTAATTCTCACTTAGTTTGTGTCCCCCTGTGTAGAACTTAGCTATATAACATCAGAAGTTGCTTTTACATGAATGGATTTTTCTACTTTTTTTTAACAGTGTTATTTTCTTTAAAAGACTTATTTTTGTGTTATTGAGTGTATTTAAGTACGCTTTTATAAAGTTGTATTTTTATGCCAGAGTATTGCACGAGGACGATGAGGATGATGACCTTATGCGACTTTGCTGTCCTCCTCTGTTATTAAAATGTCCCAGCTGGTGCCACATATGCCTGTAGAACCATGATCTTTCGTTATTCTGTTTCACGGCTAACCTTCGGTAGCTCTGCGCTTGTCATTTTATTGGGAAGTTTGGTCATTTAACCTGGTTGTTCCTCTGTTGTCTGTCTGCCACCAACACCTCCTGTTTCACAGTCCTGCCTCCCCAAGCCCAGCTTCACAGGTTCAGTCCTGCCCGGCGTAGCGGCGTGCCGATAATTACCCGCCTGGTTGACATTTGAAATGCCTGCTGAGGTGACCTGCCACCCAAATCATTACCTAAGTGCGGTTAAAAGCTAGGAACCAGCAGAAAGCCACAGTGTCTCTGCAGGTCGGCTACCCCTGCTCTGCGATTGGCTGTAATGTTGAGGTAACAGTGTGGCACTCCGCAGGGGTAACTACAGGTCACCGAGAGCTCTGATCATGTGACTCTTACAGGTATTGAGTTCTATATGCGCAAAAACGGAGGCCAGGTCTGTTGTTCCACTACTTTATCCGTGCTAACTTTAGGAAGTATATTCCTTCATTTTAGTAACCTTAACAGTATTCTCAGTGTGTGCCCCTCGAAGTATAGGCTGTCAGATTAATGTATGTCTTTCAAGTGTGGGTGTGGAATTTTTATATAAATACTTGGTTGCCAATATCCACTTCCCCCTCCCCCCCCCCCTTGATCAAATAAAATTAAGTTAAACACTAAATGGTTCCTCTGGTGTTTTCATACAAGTCGCACGCCGTGATAGAAAATTTAAATATTCTTTGTTGCAGTTCAACAAGTAAAATTTGATGGATTACTGCCGTATGACTGCAAATAATACGCACTTCCCAGCTAAGGAAGCGAAAGGTGGTGTTTTTTCATCAAACACATGGCTGATCAGTGTGGACTGACGCTGCTTCGGTAAGGAAAGGTGTCCGGTCTGTGAATAATGAGCTGGGAATCAGCCTGACTGCCGTAAAGAGCGGGTTTGCGTCCTACCTGCATTGCATAAAAAGAAAACCGGACTAACGGAGGAGGGAGTCATGTGATGGGACGGCGTTTGGGTTTGGTCGTCACGTTATTTGCGTGTTGCTGATATTGTGGGTGTGACAGATGCGACCCCCCCCCTGTGTGTATCGTCTGCGATCGTCTGCGAGTGACGGGCCATAAGTCACACCAGCAAACTGCCAGAGGGAGGAGGGGATGGAGGGAGCATCCAGGCACTCGTCCACAAGACCCAGGCATCCCTCGTTCTCTCTGATCGGGCCACACAAGCAGAGCAATGCCTACCATCCTGCATCGATTGTATTCATTCATCTGGAGAGTGATGGGGGCGTGATCCGAGTCCCTGACGTGAAGAAACAGCTACGTCTTTGGACAAAAGTGACTTTAGATATAAATACGTCTTTATTTATCTGCACTGATGTGTACCCATGATGTGGGAGTATTGAGCAGCAGCCCTACACATTACTCTGCCTACAAAGGAGAGGTATGTGGCTGTATTTGCCTGATGGACTCTGATGGTTAATATTAGGAGTGTCCTAATAACATTTGGAGCAGGTGCTGACGATCTCCCGTAATAAGCTTCCGCTGCTGTGTCCGTCGGCTGTGCGCAGCTGGGACAGCTGGCAGTAAAACAAACAAAAAAAAAAAACCCCACAAAGGTAGCTAGATTGTCTCACTGTCAGATGGCACCATCTTTAGGTAGCAGCTAATGTACATCTATATTTAAAGTTAACCTTTAAAGTCTAATTACGGTTACGATGGTTTAACATCCGGATATACAAATCCTCACCAATCAGCTTTGAATCACAAAGGATGAGGTCTCGAGTTTAAAACTGGTAAAACATTTCGTTTCTTGGCTGTCGCTGATCGCAATGATGAACAATATATTTAAGTCAAAAAAAATATATTTTTTCAAAAGCATGTAGGTATGGAAAAAAGGTCCCAGAGGTGTTCCGAAGCTTCTATCCTAAAAGAAAAAGAAGAAAAAAATGCAAAAAATGACTCAACTCATTATCTGTAAAGGATTCGTTTGAATACATTGAATTTTAATGCTCTTTGAAGTTTGCACCTGTCAAATGCGGTACAGGAGCTGTGCTGATGAGAGTGCACATCACCGTAGCTTTTGTAGCCTTGAGGAACGCCACGGCGGAAAGCATACCTCGCTTTGGACTGCAGCCCAGGCCGCTAGAGCTCCCGATCCGGTCGATCCGTCCTCCGAAGCAGGCGGACTTGCTTCGGGTCGACATGAGCAGGTCCTGCAGCAGGTTCCTCTGGGCCCGGAAACCATCCTCTGGGGTTGTCCCTTGAGATGCTTTGTCCCTGGTCCACTCCGGGCCGGCAGGGCTCTGCTCGGGGTCCAGCCTGCCATCCTGGTAGTCGGATGCCCCGTCGGCAGCCTCCTCGCCGGCCAGAGTCTCCTCGAACTGCTCCAGCAGACTCTGGTGGGGAGAATCGTGTGCTGTCTGATCACATGCTCCAGCTCCCAGTCCAGATCTTCACCTTAGCTTTTTGGTGGATAAATGTTTTACAGGAGTCTCCCTGAACAGCTTGAGGTCAAGACCATTTTGCAGTTGTCTTTCAGCTGTCTCTGGATCACATTTCTTTTATTTATGGAAACATTTTCTATGAAGTGCACTATGACAAGCTCAATTGAAAGAGTATGAAACAACAAATCACATTTAATTGATTGATAGAGCTTAACGCCGCTGTTTTCTCAACCTGTCTTCTCCATTTCATGCTTGTTTTCTGTCACCGTTAAGAGGAAGAACCTGAATCTCCGTAGTAGTAGTTTTTAAGCCCCTGAACTGCACTGTCAATTTCAGTTTTGTGCATGTGTATTCAGTATCATTCCAGCATTTCTAGATGTGAAACACCATCAGTAGTTTTCAGTGACAGCAGGTCTGAAATGTTAATACAAATAATATGCAGATTTAAAGTGATTTATAATGTTGATTTAGTTTAGTTAACTGCAGTTAACTTTAAGTTAAATGCAGATGGGTTTACAATGTCAGTTAATATTTTTCAGAATGTTGAAAGTTTTTTTTTTTTTTTTGACTGCAGATTTTTTTTATTTTTTGTCTTCAGCCTTCAGATGTTCAGTTTTAATAGCCCCATGGGTCCTTTATGCTTTGTGTATTGATGTCTAGGAATCAAGATCTCCAATGATCAGCTCTGTCGAAGACTCAGTTGTAAGAGATTGAACCCAACCTTAAAAATAATTCATGAGAATAATATTAAATGTTCAGTCCCATGCTTCTTGTGTTTTTCATGGAGGTTTAGCCTCAAATAGAGACCTAATATTTTTTCACGATGAAGTGGATTAAAAATGAAGTTAAATATTAGAAAACTCAATAATACAGGTAAGGCGGAAGATCATCGTGAAATGCTTCCAAAGCAGGGGAGATTGCTTTCAGCAGTTCTTATTTTCTTTTGTAATTTTATAAACTTGCATTTTGTTAAAGGCAAAGAGTGTTAATTTTTTCTACTCATTCGTTAAAATCTGTATAACATTTCACCATTACATTCAAACTGGTAACCCTATCATATTTCCAGGTTTATCTTCATCTGAATACGTTTTTCCTCGTGAATCTTATTGTACTGCTGGAGTTAAATTTCCATTAAAGGCAGACACTTTCCATTATGAGCCACCAGCTGATTGTTCGCTACAGTGTCTGTATGTTCCCATTGTCCTGTGTGATGAGCACAGCAAGTTAATAAGACCTAAGTTACCCTTTGGCATTTGGATGAGTTTGAGTGAAGATTTTGCGTCTTCCCTTCCTATGACGTAAAGCTGATTAGTATAAGCAAAGCAGTAACTCTTACCTTCAGCCTGGCCAGGTCTGCGGCCGCGTAGGCCCTGCCCAACACGTGTCCGTTCACCAGCCCCTGCTGACAGAGCAGAACAAGGATTCCGCAGAGGATCACTATTCTCATTGTGTCTAAGTGTTTGGTCTTTTTTTCAGTTCCAAAACGTGTCCTTCTGAAATGGCTGCGAACTCTCAGCCCATCTTTTATAGGCCTCGCGCAGACAGTCCGGTGTCCGCGACTCATTGCTGCATTATTTGGCTGAAGTGCATTCTAACACCTTCACATGATAAGCTGGTGAGAGATTTCCTTTTAAAGCGGCCGCAGAGCCCCGGGCGACCCGGCCGCGTGGGCGCTCGCCCCGGCTCCACTTGAACAGAAACGGTCCGCGGACTCGCCGGCGGTCTTGTAGACTGAGCTCAGATATGTGGCGTGGAGGCTGGAATGCGCCCAATGCATGCAGGTCTCATGTGACTTTTAAATGACCAGAAAAAGCCAACCATGGTCATTTCGGATCTGGATAAAACATTTTATGTCGAGCCTAATAATTATCTCAGAGCTACTCAATATAAGTAGTCTACTGGGTGTTGCCTATTTCAGAAAAAAACTAATCTGTACCAGTGGTGGATGGTGATTTTTTAATATTCAGGAAGCACAGTGTGGACAGTTGGCAGTGTAACCAAAAAAGGTCTTTTTCTTATTTTAGTAGGTCAGCTACTTCTATGTAAATTCTGCTCTCCTTCGTCGAAGAACTCCTTTAGAATGTAATCAGCATTAGCTGCAGTGTCCGCCATGTTCCTTCAAAGCCTCTAGCTCAGCTTGAACACACACACAGCTTAGTTAGCAAGCTAAATAGTCTAAAATTAAATAGACTAAAAATCACTCGGCTTGAAAATGCAACAAACGATCAAACTGAAAACTCCTTGATAATTTTATTTACCATATTTATAAATGCCGATGGTGGAAGATGATGTCATGCCCAGCCCGTCCTGTTAGCCACACTCTCCGCTTTTCCTCCCTGCATGGCCCTAACGAGCCACGCCTGGTGCTCGTTAGTCTCACCTCTGGTTCCTGTCCTCCCGTTAATCACTCCCAGCTGCCTCCTGTTTGCTCCCTTGTTAATCTTGTCTTTTAGTGCTTCCCAGCTCTGTCATTGAAGTTGTTACCTGGGCTATGCCATGTCCTCCCTTCTTGGCTGACCCTGTTTTCAATCCCTCGTGATTCTGTTTGTTTTGAGTTTGGTTCAGCTTCATTTAGTAAACCCCCATTGGCCTTTGCTCATGCTTGCTCTGGCTCCCTTTATTTCGCCGACACATGACAGATGGTATATAAAATGAAAAACTGTCACCCTGGGTTTCACTGATCTGATTCTGTCCACCTGCATGCGGCCGAATGAATGAATCCTGCGACCCAGTGTGAAACCTGTCAGCCATGAGCATTAATGCTATCGGTAGTTAGTCCTGTCTTGGGCAGAGAAGCCTGGATTCCAGGCAGGTCTAAACTATCTGACTGCAGGTCTATCTGTCCAGTCAGCGTTAGCTAAGCAAAAACTATGTATAAAGCTCTCAGACTCACAGTGAAGCACGGCGAACGGGCGGGCTCTAAAAACACTTAATGTGAGCATATTTGCCATTAAGCTTTAGTCTATTCTCTATTTAGACACAGCGTGCAAGTGTCTTCCATAGACTGCCAGTGAAGCATGGAGTCAATAATGTAGGTGTCTATCCTTGTTTCTAAGGAAAAATTAATGTATATGTTGTCAAAAGCAGCTTCTGTGAAATGATCAGCACTGTGAGTCCATGAGTAAGTTAGATTACACTCTTAATAATAAAATAAAATTTAATTTACATTGATACATTGATTAATTAAATTCTTTTGTCAATTTTAAAGAGGAAGTCATGCTTCCCATGCTTCTTAGAGCAATGGCATGTGCTCCCCACACCATCAATTTGACTCCAAAAACCTCGTCCTCTCACACCATTCCCTACATGTGCTGTTGTTTTTCATCTTGTTGCTCCTGGGTGGTGGAACAAGTTGCTACCCGTTGTGGGGACTCTGCACCATCACTGATTACTAAGCATAAACACCAGACCCAGACTGACCTCTCCATTCAGAACATCTCCAGGATAACAGTAGCAGCTCTGTCTCCTCGTCTCTCTTTTCACTGTGTATTTTCCGGCTGTTGCCCTATTCCCAATGCTGTCATCTAAGACCATTCTAAGTTTCTGTGTTGTGTTTGTGTAAAAAGCCTCTGTTTGAATTCCAAGCAGCCCTATGTACTTTTCACTGATGTAATCCAACACGGCAACAATCAATTAATAACTGTACACCTAGTAGTATGTTTTTTAATTTGGTTATTTTTGTCTCACAATTTGATGGAAAGGTTTATGTTACACTTATAGTTTCTAAAGAAATTTTTAAAGAAAGGCGGATATGTCTTTCTGAATCATAAATAAATCCATCCATCCATTAGGGACTATGAACCAGTTATATTAATACTTTATTTGCCCGGTAAATCTGATGTACTACACTGTAGAAAAATAACATGTTCACAAAAGTGAATGTTTATTGAGCACTTCAGTTACATCATGATATTATTTGACACAGCATATTTCACACAAGTAAAGTTCAATAAATACCCTTAAATAAATATTTGAACAAATAAATATTAAGTCTAGAATTCAGCGGGTATAGATGTCCCAGCCGTCTAAAACTCCATCTCTTCTATGAATCTGAAAATACAAAAAAAATTACATATGTAAACAGTTTTAACATTGATTGCTTGCTTTGATCTCTAAACCTCTTTCAAACAACATCATTGATTATAGCTGCACATGAAGGATTAGAGGATCACATTTCTACAAGTCAGTTGGTGGAAGATATAGTCAATATCATTTAATTTTATCTTTAATCCTAATAGACAGATAGTGATATAGGTTAAAATCATTCCCATTAAAATTCATCTATAGTAATGAAGGCTGGTGTTGGTTTTTGTCTATTTGACCATTAGGATTATCATCATAATTTTTATCATATCATTTATTAGCTTATACCTTAACGTGTTAACTTACTTTTCCGGTTCATTACATTACATCCCAAGGTGCTCATGGACCCAATCCTGTCCATTCTCCTCCCAAAACAGCCTGATGTCTTTTTAGTGCCGGAGTCATTACGAACAGCCTTCAGGTCTTGAGGTGAGAGAAACCTCTCCACGCTGTACTGGTTTGTTCCCAGTTGAGGTTGGCCATCGGTGTCTTCAGAATTTACATTCTTGGAAACAGCTGTCCTGAACGGCGCAACTTCCTTCATTTCTGTAATCGCCTCAAGCTGCTCAATAAGATCCTGAAATCATAACAGCATCCATTACATTTAGGTCAATATGTTGATTTTTGTGCCTCAGGACAATTTAAAATCTCTGCAAAATTGTACCAACAAAACAACAGCAACCAAGTGGCTTTTTGCTATTTCAGCTTGATGTTCTCATGTGTCGCTTACCTTTAAGACATCCAGGTCATCACCTGTCAGCGTGTCCCTGTACATGGGGAAAGCCATCAGAAGATGAATGTTAGCAAACATGAGAAGGCCAAAAATGGCAGCGTTGGTCAGCATGTTGCCTGTCTTCAAAGTTTTCGGCTTCCTTTGTCAGAAATAATGGCTTTCGGCTGCTGAATCGTTGCTTATGGTCTAAGCTAGATGGGTGATCCTTTTATACTTTGAAAAGTGCCACGAGCAGCTATGTGAGGAATTGGAATTGCACCTTGTCACCTGACTCCGATAACGCCCAGCCGTCGGAAGTGATTCCTTTTAAAGCTCCGCGTTAACCGATATAGGACATATCTGGCATGTAGCTGCACCAATCCTTCCCTCTGAAGGATAATCTATGGAATGTAGGCGGTCTAGCCTCTGATTAAGTGGCCGTTTACTGTAACACTATTTCTGTTTGTGGTGGTGCGTTGAAATCTGCATGACGTGATATTCTCACGCGCGGCACGGAATCATTGGCGATTTTCAATCGGAACGCATGCGCTAATTGTTAGAGTTTACACAGCCTTTCTTTAACTGAGGTGTAATTTGCATTTGTGATCAAAATCTGACCCACTGGTGTCTTCCAAAGCATTTCTATGAAGAAAACAGAATAAATCGGTACGTACAAATGGGCAGACATGGAAAAGCATAAAAAATACCAAGGTTAACATATGCTTTTATGAAATGACTGGATTGTTCATCACGGTATACAGAATAAGTAGTAGCATGATCCAGTTTCTTGTTGTTGCTGAGGTAATCGACTCCCATTGGCTGCAGAGTGCAAAGAGGGGCAGAGAGATGCCCAACACCACAATAGGCCTGGACTAAGCTAGTGTGGTCTAAAGGCCAGAGCAGAGAGTATGAGTCATGAGTCAGTAATGAAAGCTTTACAAAAGATATGCGGGGGCATAGACTGTGAAGCAGAACCCTTGCATGGAAAGAAGAGCAGCTGACCATCAATAAAAGTAAAAACATATAAATAAATGTAAATCTTATTTACATTACAGTATGGTTAGGGTGACATGTCCTCTTTTTTTGGGACCTAAATATGCCAGAAATGACCGTAATTGCACTTTGCTTCTTGCTTACTTTTGCTTTCTATAGTCAGAATAGTGTCTGTGCGCATATTTGCTTTGATGCGTGTGTTTGCCTGCTGCCCAGTCATCCTCTTATCTGCAACGCAGAATATCGCCACCCTATGCACGCCGTGTTTCCTAAAGAGGTGAAGCACCCAGTGACTCTTCAGGTTTTTATTAGTCATATTAATGATGTGCTTTTATTAATGTATTTTTTATATATATATAAATCTCGGCAATAATTTTGATTTGACATTTTTATGTGGTCACTAACAATTGTAATTATTAGGTAATTATAATTAGGAAATGTAATTATTACCTTATTAATGCTCCCTGGACAATTCCATTAAAGGAATTTTGTGTAGTGTTGAGGAAACACTGATGCAGTTGTACAGTTACTGCTGTAGTAGTTTCACATTGTGCTGCATGCGATTACGAAGGTGCAGTGTGGATGATAAGCAGCCCCACTGGTAACACTGGAGGGCGGGAGGACAGGGCAACTCATTCATATCCATATTGACTTTTGGATACAGCACAAGTGACATTAATACAGGCTGATAAGTGTAGCTGAAGAAAATGTATGTATTCGCTCATTGATTTATCTGACATTTAGCCAGGATGAATTAAAGAGAAAAACACAAATTACACAACATGAACAAAGATAATGACATTGTGTCCATAAAAAAAAATATCATCATCATCTTATCATGCTTTATACGTAAGATTTATGATAGAAAGGTTCATTTAAGGCCACGGGAGCATGAATAAAGGTAATAAATAGAAGTAATTTGTTATATTTATTTATAATCTGCAGAGTTGCAAACAGCTCCTACACCAAGAAATAATAAGGTGTCACTTCATCTAATGCTGAGTCAATTTCTGGATCATAGTAAACAGCTGGACAGTGTAATTTGTAAATGAAACTTATTCAGTTGTTATTTATGTTTATTCCAGGGTAGCACAGTGTTTTCTCCCCAGGTTGTCATGGGGTTTCCTCCTCCACCTTTGGTTTCCCCCCACAGTTCAAAAACATGCTGAGGTGAACGGGGGTTGCCAGGTTGTCCATCGGTGTGCATGGTGTGCGAATGTGTAATCATGTATACTGTATATTATATTGTGGGGGGACCAAATGTGAATACAATAAAAAAACGAAAAATTTTGTTTGGTTACTTATGGTAAAGGTTAGGGCTGGGTAGGAGTTAATGTTATAGTTGCGATTAGGGTTATGCCTACAAAAATGAAGAGTCCCCACATCACATCACCTCACATTACCTCACAAGCATCAGATGGAGTGGTGTAAAGCATGCCGGCTCTGGAACAGTGGGACCGTGTCCTGTGGAGTGACAAAACACGCTTCTCCGGGCAGTCTGATGAAAGAGTCCGAGTTTGGCAGATATCAGGAGAACGGTACCTGCCTGACTGCATTGTGTCAACTGTTTTTCAGTTGTTTTTCAGGGGTTGGGCTACGCCCCTTAGTTACTCCTAATACTTCAGCATGCCAAAGACATTCTGGGTAGGGGTTAAGGTTGTCATTGTTGGGAATAGGGTTTTTCCCATAGAAATGAATGAGAGTCCCCACAAAAATATGAATACAAACGTACGTGTGTGTGTGTGTGTGTGTGTGTGTGTGTGTGTGTGTGTGTGTGTGTGCCCTGCAATATGTTTGTCCCTCTTCCTGGGTTATTCCCTGCCTTGCGCCCCTCGCTTCTGGGACAGGCTCCAGACCCCCATCACCTTGCATAGGAAAATCTGGTATAAAATATGGATGGATGGATGGTATATCATTAAAAGTCTAAAATACCTGCAGAGGTTAATCAAAATCATACCTGCAGATATGAATCCAAGAAGTAATTCAAGTTAAAATCCATTGCATTAATTTTGCCTATAGTGCAGATATAGTTAACTTTTTCTATTAAAAATATAGTTGATAAATGATGATGCGGTGGGTAGCACTGTCACCTCTGGGACCAGCGTTTGAGTCTCCGCCATGGCTCCGTGGGTGTGGGGGGGGCGGGGTTTGCATGTTCTCCCCGTGATGTTGTCAGATTTCCTTCGAGTGCACTGGTTTCCCCCCAAAGTCCAACAACATGCTGAGGTTAATTGGAGTTACCAAACTGCCCATGGGAGGGAATGCAGTGAGAACTGCGATGGGTTGGTGCCCCACCCTGGGCTGCTCTCTGCCTTGTCCCCAAGGCTACAGATCCCCTGTGACCCTGAACGGGACTAGTGGTTACAGAAAGTGGATGGATTTTTGAATATACGAGAAAGCCAGTGGTCTAGGGGAATGAAATTTTCTTCAAATAAGATGATAAATCGTTATTTCCATATCTGAGGTAACAGTGTGCAAGGAGAGTCGTTTGATGGAAATGGAAACTCCACGGAGAGAATAGAAGGGTTTGTCGCTGAAATTCAAACTCAGGTCTCAAATATACTCTCTCCACTAGCTGGTGGATAACAGTGTCTTTTGATGAAAATTCGTCATGTGGAATTTGTGATGTGGAATTTGTGATGTGGACCATGAGTTTAATATTTCTGCTCGACCTCCACACATGTCAAGCCATCAGGATCGATGTGTATTTCCAAGGGTGTAGATTTGGGTACAGACGGTAAGGACATGCATCCTCTGACCGTGTGTGTTCAGGGGGGTGGGGGGGTTTGGGCTGATTTGGCCCCTACCAGTGTTGAAACCAAGCCTGTGCCCTTGCATATTTTGACAATTGGGGTTAATTATTATATTAATGTTATAAACCTGATTGTAAGTGGAAATTTCATATAATAACATTAATGTAGCGACTAGCATGGTTGTTTTGCACCTCTGGGTTTGAGTCTCTCACCTGGCTCTTTGTGTGTGGAGTTTGCGTGAACGGTCCCCACAGTTCAAAAATAAGCTAAGATGAATGGGACTTACCAAGGTGTCTGTAGGTGTACATGGTGTTGGTGTCCTGCTCTGCGTTTCTCTCTGTCTTGTGCCTGTAGCTTCTGGGATAAGCTCAGGACAAACTGATATCATATAGCCATTTATATGATCCACAATTATGGACATATGCAGAGGTTTGAAAGTCTTGGTATATAGGTGAAATGAGCAGGATCATATTCATAGCGTTTGCAACGTTACGTCCAAATCTGCTCCACCATCCAGATCTACTCTGCCCGCGTGCCAAAGCGGCTGCCGATAGCGCGACCTCATCAAACGCGGACGCGCCTGCCAAACTGCCGCCGAAGCGGAGACTCAGTGAGTTAATAAGCATGCGTCAGAAGTGACGCCAGATTCGGCTCGCTCAGTAATGCCACTGTTTTTTTTCACTGAGAGTCAGTCCCTTCCTGTAGGTGCCAAATTAGACTATTTTATGACAGATAAAAGGTCATAAAGTAGCCTATATATTATGTTATACATAGTGTAAACTGAGATCAAACGTAAGAGCAATACAAACCGTGCTTTCCTTTAAGTAATAAAGAATCGGTACAACGAATAGGCCTATATTAATTATATTTCAATGTCCATACCAGCATTCATAATTGGCTGTTCATATTGTAAAGATAATTTTTGCTTCGAACACATCATGCGTGATTATCATTATTAATTGATTCATTGATTCAATGATTCATTAAGCGAACTATTAATATGGTCGTGTTAACAATAACTACTTTTACGACGACTACGAGATACATACAGCTCATGACATCACCGTCAATAACAAATGCGTTATTTATTCACTCTTTTCTTGTGATTCGATTACATTAAAAATTAAACACTTTGGTGGGTTGAAGTTTCTGTCAAATAAAGCCCACAGCAGGAGAACGAACCCGCGTGACACATCGCAATATATGAAGATACGCTGACCACAGATTTATTAATAAGATTTTAATAAGGCTATGACAATATACATACTTGACATTAGCATACATCCATAGGACAAGGCGGCTAACACTGAACTACAATTCTTTCGGTCTGATGTATACATTGTAGCTTATACAATGAAATAGATTAGAGCAATTTTGTCTATAACTGTATTTGGTGCTTATTTTAATATATTTTCTGCGAGGAGAGTCAAAAATACATAAGAAAAACTCGCCATTCTCTTATTAAGCAAAATATTTATTTCGCTCCAGTACCATACCTTATATATACAATAAAATAAATACATAAAACATAGCGGAGTTAATAGTCCAATGTTCATTTTTAATAACTGTATATACATCTAAGAGTTAAAAGGACATCAAAAAACAAAACTTTTAATAAACAACTGTCATAAAAACTATTGTAAACGTTCATTTTTTTTCTGGATTGAAGATATGCGTTATATCCGAAGGGGATTTGCCTGTCCGGTTGCACCTTAAAAAAATAAAAATAAAATAAATGCAAATATTAGAGGGAATCATATTTAGAAGCATAATAATAAAGTATTTCCTGCGTGCAGTGTCTATTCGTTTGGTTTGAAACCGTGTAAAATAGAGTGAAATCCTTCGATTTACACATCTTAAAAGTTTGCGCTGTTTTGCACTTTAGATAAAATAAAAAGAATAATCAACTCCAACAACCAATTGTGAAACGCCGTCTCCTTAAAATTGAGAACTTATATATCAGGTCGTTAGGTAAACCAAATCTGGAAATCGGTGCTGCTGCGCGTGAAACATCGCTTCCGCCTACCTGTCTTTCAGCATCCCAGTCCGCTAAAGGAGCCGATCCGCTCCAGCCGGACGCCAAAGCAGCTCCTCAGACCGCCCTTCTTGAACCTGCTCCAGGAGCGCTTGGAGGTCGACAGGATGTCGTTGAGGAGACGCGCGATCGCGTTCTCATTCTCCGAAAGCGCACTGCTTTTCACGCCGCTCCCCCACGGCGGCAGGTTTTCCGCGTTGAAGTTGTCAGAATTCATGTCTTTGTCCTCCTTCTCCACTTTCTCCTCGGAAGTGAGATACGGCGCGTTGCTGTCCTCTTCCAGCAGCTGTTTAAGACTCTAAAAATGTCAACTAAGAGTTTAATGAGCTACCCATACCACGATACGGTATTTGTAAAACCGTAAGACTTCGGACAGTTATTTATCACATGAAATTACCAAGGCCTTGTTAATGATATTAACAAATCAATTTGCGCCGAAAGTGTGCACAGGTTGAATTGCGCTTACCTGCAGGCTGGAGATGGGTTTGGCTTGAACCAGGTTTAAAAGCAACAGAGTAGAGATAAAACAAATGATGATGTTTGATGACATTTTTTACGTATTTTATACGTAGGCTACTACTGAGTTCCCAGCTACACGGACTAAGATGTTTCCCCAGGTCAGACACAAATAAGCTCGTTCTGCGCTCTCCTTCCGCTGCAGGTGCGTTTATATATCTGCGGCTGGTTTCGTCACAGATACCCGAGGAAATCTCAGTCGTGACTGATTTCAATGAAGGAAGCAGTCCTAAGAAGCGCAGTTAATTAGGTAAATCTGATCTGCAGCACCCTGACCAGGTTAAGCGCCCAGAAGATGGGTGGATGGATGGATGATCTGCAGCAATTACGTCCTTAAACCAGTTCCTTGTGAGAAGTGAACGACTACTACCGACCTGAATTATTCTAGGTAGTCTGTTTTGAACCGCGAGCCTTTTTTTTATTTCACCTTTTCTTATAGTTGTTTTCCAGCCTCCGCAATCACGTCATCAAATCCGCAGTAAGGTTTAAAGTACACAAAGTACAGAAATAAACAGTAAATGCCGTGTAATACAACCCCGTTAAGATTAGTATTACTTTATGATAAACATACATGATTATTTTAACACCGGTCCTTCTAACACAATATTAGAAATCTGGAATTTGTAAATGTTGTTAGTAATTCTTAGATTCATTTGGCTCATTTAAATGGTACCGACCCAAGGATGTATCGGTATGAAATCAAATAGCCATCTTAGAATATACTAGAAAAGTAGACATGCTTAAATGATTACACATTACATATTTAATGGTATGGGTAATTCTTACAGTGCTGTCCATACCAGAACACTAAATTTGAGCTCATTGTGATCAGTCCTACTTCCTATTGCCTGTACATGTTATGATGATGCAAGTAAGCAAGACACAGCTTGAAGTCATATTTACAGAACTAATCAGTCTAACGAGTTAGCAGGGGTTACTGCAAACTACAGCCAAGCTATTTATGCACGTTTCTGAGCCATGATTACTAAATTATGTTTTAACAGGTGGATTTTTTGTTTAGTCTGAAATTCGTACACCATAGAATCCCCCTTGGTTCTGAAAATACAAATCCCTGTTTCAATCCAGATGTAAATTAAGAGCATAATTCTGACTGACACCTTTCATTGCTGTTTCCACCCCCACCCCCCAGTACCGATCATTACAGCGGCCCAATAGACTCTGAATCACAGATACTGGAAACACAATCACATCTCCTGTCATATTACAAAGATCAGGCCCGTAAATAAATGATGTGAATGATAAATATTAACAGTTAACTGCATAGCTAAGTGGTGTATTCGAATTTGTTTCTCTAAAGCTATTTACAGAATCACATGAAAGCTGTTGACCAAACCCTGGCAAATCCTTCACCTCGACAGTAAGCGGGAAATGGATCAATCTGCCCCGGCCAGGCGGTTCATGTCGGGTGCTAAAGGCCCAAATGCTGCATCCTATTTACAGGATCCAGCCACAAATCCTCTGATTAATCATCATATTTACCTATTGCATTTTATTGTCTGATTTTCTGATGCTTTTCTCTGCATCAGTAAGCACACACTTCAGAGCTATAGTACAATAAATATATCCATCATTTCCAACTACACATCCAGTTTATGGTAGCAGGTGATACCACAAATATAGTCAAACTCAGATCCCGTGTCTCAAAGTAAAGTTTTTGAATCCATGGAGGCAGAGCCTGAACTTCCCCTAATGTCTGGACATTTGCCGTGTAAGTGTGCCTTTCCACTGGGGCTCTTTGGCGCAATCGTATAAATTTCTGAGTGGGAAAAACGACTTTCCCCACCGACGAGGATACACAGGGCAGCTATTGAGAATTTGTCTGCATTAAGAAGCTCACCCCTGCCTTCTCCCAGTCTTCCCTATCATCCTCCACGACCCCCCACCCCCAGTGCACCGATTCCCCTGCTGCTCTTCAACACCATTCTAACCTTTAAAATTACATTTCTCAACCTGCCTCACCTGGTAAGAAGCTATGAGCAGGCAAACAAGCCTCTGTGGTGGAAGCAGAAATGAAGAGTGAAGAGGTGCTCCAGTCTCCCCAGTGTCTTATTCAGGGGCCGAGAGCCATCAGTCTATAACTGGCTGAAGACAAATCCTTCCACTCCACACTTCCATCAAATTGATGTGGTTTATCTTGCTAATGGTATAAGCTACGATAGATTATCTTTTCCCAGTTAGACATATTTTTAACAGGTCTTCAATTCCATTTTTTAACTTATTCTCAGAAAGACTCTGCAATCAATGAGAAATATCAATATTCTTCTGACACATAACAAAGACAGTTTCATGCATACTATTATAGCCATATTGCGCCATTTTATGCATTGTAAATTTCAGTGCGATGATCCGCAATGATCAAGTTGTTTAATGAACTGAGATCCAAAACAGCAGGTAGATGCATGAATCAAGGAACGAGATCAAGGGACAGGTGCAGGTCAGGGATGAGCTAGAGTAATAGACATACCGAGGACCAGGCAGGTACGAATTTGAAAGTCAGCAACAATCAATCAGCAAAACAAAGATTCAGTATGGTTTGGAAAGGACAGAGGTCAATGCCTAACAAATCTCTTCGTGTAGTGAGGTCCCTCATATCTTCCTCTACATCAGTGGTGGGGAATCTTGTCCGCAAAGGGCCGGTGTTTAGGTCAGCTGTTCAAACCCAGGTGTGAGGACTCTTCAGCCAGTCAGTCCTCTAATTAGTAATCTAATTAAGGAGTTGCAGTGAAAACCCGCATATCCAGGGTCCCTTTCTCGGTAAGGTTTGCCAGCCCTGCTCTGGATGTAGTCAGATCTAGTCTTCAAGTGAGGCAGGATCTAGTTGAGCGTGCACCCTGGGCATGTTCACTGCTAGCAAGAGTGATGTTCAGAATTTGCATAGGTCACTCATAATACAATAATTAAATATAAATGCTTGTGTCATTTGAGGTGGTTCACTGGGCAGTTCTTATGCCTCTCTCCGGTAGGGGTGTGGGTTTAGTCCCACCTCCACTCTGTGTGAGGAATTTGCATGTTGTGTTACACAGGTTTCCTGTTGCAGTCTAAAGCCATGCCGTTAGGCTAATTGGTGTCTGTGTGTAGATTGTCTGTGAGACCAGCATCCCAGTACCCCAGCCTTGTACCCTACGCTGCCTGGGATAGGCTCCAGGCCCCCCTGTGAACTTGACAGGGATGAGCAGGTAGAGGATGTTTTTTTGTATATTCCTATGAGTCATTATACATAACAGTATTTATGAGTACATGAATAAAGCCTTATGGAATTCATAGTGTTAGCCAAATTTCTATTAGTATTATTATTATATTTGCATCATCCCTGTACTGGAAAAGCAATATGAATGTTGGATGGATGGATGGATGGATGGATGGTATATCTTGCCAATGGCTTTCATTGACTGAGAACCCTGGCAGCTCAAACCAGTTCAATACAAGAGTTCTGCTTAAAACACGCCCCTGGGGCCTCGTGGGACAGCAGTCCTGCACCCTAAAGGACCCTAAAAGTCCACCTTAAAGTCCACCTTAAAGTCCACCTTAAATCCCCAGCTGGATTTATTCTGCTCTCTTTATTGTGCATCTTCATCTCCCTTTATGTCACCTTCACAGAGATCTGACACAGGAGCCAGAGAGTCACATCATTGAAGCATATTTACTAAACCCCAGCATTTATTTCATATGTACAATGGCATGTGATAATTGTTTAATAGGTAATAGATTTTAGGCATGATAAAATATATACAGTTACTGAAGGAAATGTCAACACATGTTTCTATAGGTAGTGTTACTTATAATATTTTCTCAATTTTTTTATCATTACTACTGGTGGTACAGTATCAGACATCAGGTATGAGGTGTGTAATTGTAGCAGTGAGAGGGGGTGGGGTTTGGATCCGACGTCCATCTGTCCTTGTAATAAAGGTGCTTGTAGGAGAGGGGCGGGGCCCCTAGTCAGGCCACTGTGCTTATGCATATTAATTAGTTCCACCTGCCCCTGCTTCTCAGCGAAATGCATAAAGCAGAGCGTTTTGGCTCATTAGCTCCCAGCCCAGGGGAGGCATCAGACTATCATGACCCATATTCTCCCCACATCCTTGGATCCCCTTTATCGTCCCAAAACATCAGCCCCCATCTTTATTTCCTGTTTATCTTTTGTTCCTACTTTTCTTGACATGTTTACATTGGTGTGCTGTCGGCTCTGGTCCTGATGTATTGACATCTGTTTCGGGAGCAGGCCGTCTTTAACATGACCGTCAATGCCGCATCCTCATGTGACATGATGCTAACCGATGTCTTCCTCACGATCTTCCTCACGGTACACTCCAATGCCTTGCCCTTTTGACATTTACATATATTAAGTAGACACTTTTATCCAGAATGACGTACAGTTGAGAAAGCAGACGGTCCCTGGAGTTACTGGGGTTAAGGGCCTTGCTCAAGGGCGCAAAAGTAAAATCAGTGCACCAGTGAGAGGATTTGAACCTGTCACCTTCCGATCCCGCGGTGTCCTAACCCACTGAACCACAAACGACCCCAAAAACCTCTAACTGGGCAACAATTCATGGAGTCTGGACTCCATGTTGCAGAATCGGGCTCCAGCATTCACAGAACTATGCTGTGTAAATGTTAGTGTTGCCCTCTCAAAAATTGTTCTATTTTTTGCCCTTGAGTCCATAACCCATAACTCATTTTAACAGAGGCCCTGCCCACAGAGGTTCACCAGACACGAGCATCTGAATGATTAAACCTTCGCGTGCTAATGAGGATGCTAATGACTGGCACCTTTGAATCTTGGGTTAATGTATTTTTACTGTAGCTGACAATGACACCTTTAAATTTACCACAACGCCCCTGATTACACATATCATATGTCTTTATCCAGTGGCATGTTTTGTGGCTCTGCCATGCTTGTAGTATTTTTCTAGAGAAACCAACTTTTTCGAATGTCTTTAGTGGAATGACTTGTGACTATACTAACAGCTTTTTAAAAACAATTGATTAGCTAAACTTGGCAGTTCACTTTGATTGATGATGACATTAGCCTCGAATAGGCTGTCTTCACCACATCCAGGAAGTTGACATTTACATCTGTCATTAAGTATCTGGTCAGCGTGATATGAGGGTTTTTTTTTGTTTTTTTGGTGACTTGTTTTCCATGACATTTATTGTGCTTACAATTTTTTATATGGGGTAAAAATCAGAATATGAAATAGC